GGTGGCACCAGGGGTATCAGCCCCTCATTACAGGCATTGCTACCGTTGTTAGAGAAGCTGGCTGCGTATCGGCTATGGCCATAAGGATCACAAGAGCCTGGATAATAAGCTAGCAAGAGGTAGGCCCCTTTTTTCTGTCTCTGTACCCACTGTGGCTAAAGTCTGTATCTGAATGCACTCTCTTGCCATAATTTATTTCTCCATTACATTTCTGACCCAGGCCTGGCTTTGCAGATACCGCTGTCAGCCTTTTGCCATTCTGATTAGGCTAACAGCAGCACCTGAATGCTAATTGCCTTCCCTGACAAAGAAATCACCCACTTCCAGGGCATTAGGGAGGAATGGATAATATATGAAGGCTTTACCCCCGCCTGGATCCTCCCTTCAGGATGCAAAGTGTGGGGACTAACGGTTTGATGTCTCTCCAGCTGCTGCATAAAATTGGAGGGCAGTGCAATGACCCACAGCTCTTAGTTAGATCTGGGGGAAGGATGAAGCTATTGCAGGGCTGATTTCTGTGCCCTGAAGGAACTATCCTCATTGATTTGGGATGCTGCATGCCCATTACTGCCCTCCCCACGAGCATCCAAAGTTTTCCTGTACTAGAGCCACCAGCTTTTCACCACACAGAAGACTTACAATTTTATTATTTCATTATTTTTGTTTGTTTGTTTTTTGTTTTGTTTTTTTGTTGGTTTTGTTTTCTGCTGGAAAAGTTGTAATTGCTGGTGCAAGAAGACCTATGATTTTGGCTGTGCAGCCAAAACCCACGCCTTCTCAGCCTGATCACTCCTGGGCTGTTTGCTGCCAATCACCATATCACCTGGTGTTCTGCACATGTATGCATATATATCCTTCCTTCCCTCCCCATCTGCACACATACATCTCCTTTCCCTTCCTCCTACATTATCTGGGTCCAACCATAGATTTTATCCCATCTGAAAGATATTAGAAAGCCCAGTGGTCCTGAGCTACTACACGTCTCGTGGAAAGACACTGCAGGAAGCCACTTTGTCGGCGTTTTTCTCACCAGATGGGAGAGGTTGTTGCCTATCTTATTTTTTAAATGAACATATCATTTCCCTATCTTCTTTTTCTTTCCAATGAAATACCATTTTTACCTTGCATGCCCTTTGGCTCAGCAGCTCCACACTCTTGAGGAGTAAATGATTAAACTTTGGAGCCTGGAGTTTTGTGTTTAAATGTCAAGCTTGAAACACAGCAGCTCAGAAGAGAAATCGATAGGATTTCAATTTTCTTGTAATAAATATGGCCTTTATTGGGAGCAAACCAAGAAAATAGCTGGCAGCCTATCTCACAGTTTTGCTGCTTTTTTTTCAGCTCAGATTTTCCTTTTGGTTTCAAAGTTAAAAAAAATAAGCTTTGAGAGAAATGTCATCTTCACCAGCACAAACACATCCATTGGCTGCTTATGGGGAAGCTTAAAGAGTTTTGTGGTCAAAAAAATCCTGGTTAGAGCTGTTAATAGGTTATCAAAGCATCACATCACCACAGAAAAGCATCTTCTTTCTTTTATTATACTTTATTTGCTGCATATCGCTAATACTGACACTACAAATAGCAGGGCTGACCCCAGCTGGAGGTGAGGGAATGATGGGGTAAGAAAATCATCTATATGTGGACACCTTGTTCTCCTCCGTGGCTGGCTCATAAACCTTTCCAGGAGGAAAATAATCAGCCATACATTAATGGGTTATCACAGCTCACTATAATGCAGGGGTCTGTAGCCATCAAACCCCCGTGAGTCCCGAAGGACTTGCCCCAAATGCTCCAACTGGAAGTCTTGTTATAGAGGCAATCAATCAGTATCTTCAGTGAGCATCACCCTTCCCTGAGTTTCTCCGAGGCTTTTTCCCCAGAGACCCTCTGGTGTGTAGTAACTGCAAGCACACCCTGGTTTGCTCTTGGGGGGTGCAGAGTGAGCCTTCTGCTGGCCATGTTGCTCTGGCTCCCATTTCCTACCCTATTATCAGCCCCAGATTGCTTCCTTGCTAACCATCTTCACCCACGAGGTCTGAGCTCTGACAGCAAAAGAATAATTGAAAATGCACACTTGGAAGCACACACGCCCTGCTGAGGGAACTGCCACCTTTGTAGCAGTGTCCCCACTGCAGCCCTGTGCTGAGTTATCCAGCGTAGCCCTTTTTTTCCCAACTTACTCTGTTTTAGTTGTTTCTGCAATGCCTTGATGTTGGTTCACTTTCTGCACTGGCCTGTCTGCTGGTGCAGTGGCTTGTCCTAGAAGCTCCCTAAGTCTCATATTGCAGTGGAAGCATTGTGTATAAGGTAGATTCTCCCGTCCCACCCATCCATTTTACCAAGCAGGAACAGTGTATGCCCTTCTCCACTCCTCAAAGTCCAGCTCCCTCCTCATGTTGGCAAAAATGAATCACCCTTGGATCAGCTCGTGCTGTTTCTGCTGCTCCTTAATGCACTGGAGGGTGACTTTGAACAGGCCCTGTTGACTTGAATAAATCTATCTCATTCTTTCATCTCTTCTGCTTGCTGGTCCCCTTCTTTGTGGAAGTATCCAGTCACAGTTTATGCATTCCATGCTATTTATGCAGTGCAGCCCATGAAAAATACATGAATAGTCCTTTGCTCTTTCTCCCCATGGCTTCATAAATCTTGCATCACTTTCTGCATGGCAGCTCAGCTTCACCGGGTGATGGGGAGCAGCCTCCCCATACTCCTGCCCCAGAGCTGCAGCATCCTGTGGGGATACTGGCACTATAGGCTCAAATCCTGTCGGGCTAACAGAGGAGAAGAAGGGGAGTGTTCAGAGCCCTCTGAGCCCTGTTTTTAGGTTATTGGACAGAAAAATAAGACAGAGGTGCTAGTTCAGTGCCTTGCAGTGTCTCCAGCACTGGGAGTCACCTCACTTTGCAGTTTGTTTTGGATTTACTGAAAACCAGAGTGATGCAGAGAATAATTCCCCTCTTCACAGCCTGTTAAGCATCCTTGAGAGATGGCATATGTGACTGGAGATAAAGCTGTCTATTTTCTGCAGGGACCAGCTGGAGACTGTGTAGAAGCACACCCAAAATGTAAGCAAGTCAGGCACATGCTTTAGGACCCACTTTGCATGTAAAGCACCTTACCCTTCTGAGCAGGTTAAGTTTATTACTCTGTGGCCACAAAGTACAAGTGCCTCTTCTCACACTGAGCCCAATGGCAGAAAATACTAAGCAAACCCTGATTCGAGAGCTCTGTAAGGCTGGTCCCAAACCAGGATGGGCACAAAGGCTCAAAGAAATTGCCTAATTCCTTAGTTCTCACTTAAAATGGAACATTATGGAAGAAGTTTGCATCCAGCTCTCATTTTTACTTTCTTTCTTTTTTTTCTTCTTTGCATTGAAGCTGCTAGCAGTGGTGAACCTCCCTATTTTCCCTACAAGACTAGCCTCAGCTCTCAGATGCCTCCCCATCACCTGTAAAGCTATTTTGCATGCAGCCCCTTTAAAGAAGTTTCCCCATTTTTGTGTTTTCCTCTTAGCAGGCTCTCTGCCTCCATGAATGATGCTGCTAACATAGGGTGAGTTTTTTCCCCATCCTCAAAGTCCCTCTGATCCTCCCAACGTCTGTCGCTATCGTGGTCCAGCAGCAGATAACCGTGGGCTGAATAAGAAAACACTGCATGGGGACTGCCGTGTCAATCCAGAGTAAATTTATCCAAGTTGCTGACAAGCTCAGTTTGCTAACCCAATTGACCTTATGCTCCCTTTAATATATAAAGCAGCATTCGCCTGCTGTCCCAGCCTACCATGCCTTTCCTGGCCACAGTATGAGTGTACCACCCATTGTTGGCTGTGGTTTCCCAAGATGTTGGGAGAACCAGCATCCTAATCTGCAGCTCTCCCATTTGTTCTCCAGCAGCGGTCATCATGCAGGAGCCAGAAGATGCTGGCTGCCCACCACCACCTCTCTTAGACCTTTCCCAGGCTGATCTTTTACACCTTGCCCCTCAGCCTTTCCCAGCCATGGCTTTTCTCACTGCTCTTTAAGACTGGGACATGTGCCTTTGCAGCATGAGGTTGCCTCAAATCCATGGGGCGGGGGGAATGGGGTGGGGAATGTTGTGATGGGTGCTCTGGCCAGCCATGGGTCGGCTGGGGTACCTTCCCCAAAAAAATCAGAGAAAAGCAGTTCTTGGAGGAGGGAAATCACAAAACCATGGTATTTCTGAGGGATGGAAGAACGGTGTGGCCAGGAACTGTTCTGAGTCTTGATTGGCTTGGTGGATGCTTTGCCTCACAAGCCAGACTAAAAAGATTCCCTTCCCCCCCAAAATAAAAACACAGGAAAGAGGGAACAGCCTGTAACAAGGTAGGATGGCTTCACGTAGGGTCTACGCATCTTCTTCGTCCCAGAGGCCCCTCTCTTCCCTAGGGACCACAAGATTAGCACCAAGTCTGTGTTTAGGAGAGAAAAAAATAGAATTTATTTCCTTTCCAAGGGGAAAATCATGACGCTTTGTGGACAGCGAAGGAGCACGTGTGCGTGTGATCCACAACTGAATGTCACTGTTAGTCAAAGTTTTTTATTTTTATGAAAAAATAGAAAATTTCATATCTTACACTACAAAAAAAAAAACAAAACAACCCATGTACACAAACAAAATGCACAAAGATCATCCAAGGAGGTGGGGGAGTGGGAAGGAGAGGAATAAATACAGCAATGCTAGTCTCCTATGAGTTAACATGCTGATGCGAGGAGACGCAGCTGGACACACCAGCTCCCACCTTACCTGCCCTAAGGAATTACAATAAAGGACTGGAAACTAAGTGTCACTCCTAAGACTGCTACAGATGTATGTTAACATATGCCTTAACTACTAATTTCAAGACCACAGCAGTCCAAGGAGTTACAATTTTTTGACCACTGGGACTTTCTACATTATACTCAACACTGAACTGACAAAAAGAAAATTGCCTTCATTTTTTGTTCTTCTCGCCACTAACATATAGAAGGAATAAATAAAAATTTTAAAGTTTTTCTTTTTTTCATTTAAAACAGTCTTATTTTTTATGCTCAGGTTATTTTTCCAAATGGTAGCTACACAGTGAAAGGGAGTTAGTCTACACAAGCCATGCTTGGGGACACTTCCTTTTCCCAAAAGGGTAAACTACATTGAAAAGAGCCTTTTCACGTCCCAGATCCTTTGAAATACCTTCCTTACAATTAGCAGCAAAATATACTGGGAAAAAAGCACCCACTGGACCAGCCAAGCAAGATGGAAAAGAAAAGAACTTGGACCCACTGCAGGCAGGCAACACACCTAAAGTCTTTACAAAGAGCATAACAAGTAAAATATTACTGTCATCTCATTCTGCTGCACTCCATTATATATACAATCATGCCAAAACACCAACTACTTCCAGTTCTTGGACGGGAACCAAAAGTCTCCATTGTCTCTGGTATTTGCTTGTGGACATACAAGCTGTAACTTTTGGATCCTACTCATTAAATTACCATTTTATTGTACTTTTAGCTCCAAGACAAAGCCTATTATAATGGATCCGTAGCAAGAACAGCTCTTGAAATAAATAGAAAAGATTATTTGTTTATTTAAGGAACTGAGGTGTCCTATTTACAAATGCAGTCTGGCTTAAGGACAGTTTGTTTTCCACCAATTCATAATCTTGAATGTTACTCCAGCATCTGATGTACACCCCAGCCATATCACATATGCCTTTAAAACTCCACGAATGGTGAAAAGGGAATTTTGCTGTTAAAAGGTAATGAGAAAAGACCAAACCCAAGTCCGACAGAGCCAGTAGGTAAGGAACAAGCAGAGAACGATTCCTCCTGATGAAATAAGTTGTTTCTGCCTTCCTATGGATTATTTTCCCAAGCGCTGCAGGCAGGGAGGCACAAATCCCAAGACTGTTCTGCTGACAGCTCTAATAACCTATTATATGACAAATCTCTTTCTGTGCCGAAATTGTTATGTCTTGATTCCCCCTCCTCTTTTGTGGTCCAGTGGCTGCCAAAATGAAACAACAGGATGAGAAATCACAGTATCAAGATTTGTCAGACCTTGCTGCAGCTCCTTTCCCTCCTATTTCTCCAGATTCTTGAGTACTTCAGCAGCAGCTCACGGAAAAGGAGGAGGAGGCCATTCAGAACAGGCAAATACTGCCTGAAGAAGCCCTGCTGAAAGCGAGTAAAGCCCTGGTGCTAAAAAAAAAAGCCCACCTAACCCTCTCCTCCTAGACCTTTCTCTTTTCTTTAGAAAGTGTGCTTTGTATCAAATCGCATCTGAAGACTTGGGGGAACTGGGAGAAAGACCTCTGAAACAGCTGAAGGTGGCATTCAACACCTGCTCCTGCAAGACATGAAGGGACACAGGCCTCCTTTCAGCACTGGATGAGCTCTTCAGGCTTGGCAGCACTGGGGATGAAGGGAGCTGCGGCAAGTCAGTATGTCAATGTTATCACCAAGGAAGTATGCTACAAGATGCTACCCAAGCTCTAAGGAAGCAGTATATTTACAGAAACAGCAAACACTTGCCATCCACTGATCCACTTTTAAATCCTTATCTTTACCAAAGCCTTCACCAAAAAAAAACCCACCAACCTATGAATTGCAAATTAACTGTGCTGATTAATCCTATGTGCAACAAAAGGAGAAGGACAGCCCCAAACTGTTTCTTGGTGGGATTCCCAGGTGATGAGGTTGAAAACAGCTCAATCTGAAAACAGCAGCCATGAGCTTTAGTGGACACATTGAACCCCAACTACAAGAAAGTGCTGATCTGAGCTATACCAGCCCTAGACAGATGGTACCTTCTCACCCATGGGATGCCACTGCTGTCATAATGTTGTGCTGTTCTGTTCTTCCCTCCTCTCTGTGCTCTGTCCCAAAGTGGACAGGTCCATACCCAAAATCAAAATGCCCCGATACAACTTAAGACAGCACAGTTCCCAAAATAACCCCACTACAACCACCCCACCACTGCTTTGGGTGAAATACTGCAAAATCTCCATGCTGGATGACCGCAGTCTCACCTCCACACTCCACCCCAGGACTTAATCCCCTTCATGAGAAGAGGCATAGCAAAATCCTTTCCTTCCAGCTCAAACCACGTCATGGCTTCTCTTCTGGGCTCCAGTGACAAGTGTGAGGGCTGCATGTGGTGATGGCTGCCAGTTTGAAATGCTGGTGTGGAGGCAGTCCCACAGGATCTTGGGTAGGACTCATACACACAAAAACCAATCCCATGCTGTTGCTGGAGGCCACTGAGAAGCAGATGTTTTACTTTTCTTCTTCTGGACATTCCCAGTCCATGGTGGAAAGAAAGAGGGGAGGACATCTTTTATTTATGCAGACTCCTTCTACCTCATGTATGCAGTCAAAACTCCTGAAGGCTTTATATGTTGCTCAAACCAAACAGCAGCAAAAATACAAGGCATAGTGTTAACACAAAAGGGAGCCAAAGCAAAGCAAGAGGGAAGAAAAGCACAAACCAAAGAAAGAGCCCAAATTTTGTACCTGATGCGTAGCAAACTGTACAGTATATACATCTTCATCATGTATTATCCTCCCAGAAGAGCAAACAAAAAGAGCTTGATAACACAGAGGGAGGGAAAAAAATATACACCCTGTATTGTATTTACCATGGAGCAAGCAACATGTTTATACACTAGTATCCATAACTTAATGCTGTGTAACAGCATTTTTTTTTTCATTTCTTTCAATTTACAAACAAAATATCGAGAAATAATCTAATCATATTGCTCTTCAATACACTTCTGTAGACAAGTAAGACTTGAAGTGAAATTTCAGCAAACCTCAGCTTTTGGGAGCCCACAAATGGCTACGAAACTCCTCTGCTCAAGTCAGTCCTTGGAAGTATTACCATGTGCTGCTGTAATTAAGTATATAAAGGTGCTATATATATCTCTCTATCTCCCATGTACAGACAATGTGTGGTGGGAAGGCTTGCTGTAGTCATTGCTGAAGCTTAAGAGATGGGTTAACCTCATGTACAGCAAATTCGTTTCCATGTTCCATGCATCTTACATTTACTTCATGAAAATGAGGACACAAATAGGAAAAAAAGGAAAACTTCAGTCAAAACACTGCTTTAGAAGCGCTGCAGCAGAGGCCAATATCCTTCAGTTACAGAAACCACTGAATTTCCCTTTTTATCTTTTTTTTTTTTTTTAGTCAAAATAAATCTCAGGGCTAGTGTACAAAGTGCAGGACCAACCCACTTGAGGAAGCAACTTTAAAACCAAGTTACAACGGCACCATTCCATTCACCAACTGGACCTTCATCTCTTGAAGGCTGTTCATTATCTTCTTCTGGTGACCAACAAGTGTCACTCCCAGCCGCCTCAAATCCCTGTGGGAGAAAGCAGACGTTGGTTCCAGGGGCCTCTCAGGTACACGCCGCCACACACACCACGCACCGCATGCGCCGATGCTGCTGTCAGTGCCTACTTCTTACCATTGGCAGCTCCTGAAGCCGAGTTTAGTTGGCAAGTTTAGTTTTCACTATTTCTTTTTTTTAATTATTATTCTTTTTAATGGTATCTCAGAGAGGTGACAGAATTTGACTGAGATCACCTCGCTGGCCAAGAAGAAAAGCTGGACAGCAAAGTGCCAGCACCACTTTTAGCCAGGGAGTCTGCTAGGTGTGAAAAGTCCGGTTTTCAAGAGAAAAGCTATGTAAGAAAGCCTGTGTTGCAGTTTCCTCTTCTTGGAAAGGCTGATATTTCATCTTGGATACAAGCAGTGAGGAGTGAGGTCAATCCATGCTTCCTTCCTCTTCCGAAGAGGCAAAGCCAAAGATACACAAACCACAATCCTAGAGCTAACTGCTACAGAGAGCTGAAAGGCAAAAGCCTCTGGAAGAGCCACTAGCCCAATGACCTTCTAACATGAACTGGCAATGCAGCTCCCCTCTGAGCCTTTGCACATCTTCCCATAAGCCCATGTTTGGTTTTTTTGGGGGGGTAAATGCCAAAGGCATTTGTGTTGAATCTGTCTAATGGGCAGCCATTACAGAAAAGCTGTAATATAAGACAGTTTTATGTGAAAAGCAGGATTAGGAGGAAAGATTGTTTTCTCAGAAGCTCAGCCCTCTAAACTTTAGGTGTATAGATGATGATAATCACCAGGGTTCACGTTGATGGCATGAAAGAGGCCCCTCCAGGCAACAATTTATCCCGTCCAAAGACAGGAGTACAACAAATTGTCCCCTGGAGATACTACAGCAGGACACTGGGTGATCAGAGACAATGACACACCTAAAGCCAGGTAAGGCCATGGGTTATGGTAGAGTATAGCTGTAGGGATTTCTTTCTGGGGGGAAAAGTGTTAACAAAGAAATTGTAACAATAGTATATCAGAAGAAACATCAGGACAGGTCCATGTGTTTCCAGCACAAGACAGACTGTTAGAGAAGCAGTTTGCCTTAGAGGAAACATGGTATTTTGTCTTAAGACTTTCACCAGAAAAATATCAGCCCCTTGCTTTCTACCTCCATGCTGGACTGAATAAAGGATGTTTTTGAACACCCTTTAGGGCTCTACAATTTTTGTAATACACACATGAATCCCAGAGCTGCTGACACCCTGTGGCAAGTCTTTGTGGAGAAAGCTCTCCACTGAAAGCCAGTGGGAAGTGACCTCCTCAAACATGCAGGTGCTTTTTGGAAACCACACTGGCAGGTCTGATGTGTGCGAGAGCTGGAGATTTCCAACAACACTCAGGAGCCCAACCATCACCTGAAACATACTGCAAACCTGGCCTATAGCTAACATCATGGCTGCATGCTGGAGTGCAGGTGAACGCACGCAAGTGACCACCAAAACGCTTTCATGTAATGTTGCGTGAGCTACCTATGGAGGTATACCTCTCTCAGCAGCTTCACACTCTGGACAGAGTCCTATGAATACAACCAACCACCTATGTCCAAAACTTATACAGATGAACATTGCTTTGAATAAAAACCAATCCTGTGTGAAGGTTGATACATCAACACACAAGCTGATTGAAGCCAAAAGCTAGATCTGTTGTTCTCAAAGATTGTCATGCTTTCAGCCTTTTCATTTGGAAAATATCAGATATTCTGCTCCAGGTTAAACACTTCATTTGATTATCATACTCTTATTTGGCAAAGCATCTTGCCAATTCATAGGGGAAATAACAAATATAACCAGCATGGAGCAAGGGAGGTCAATAAGACACATCAGCAATGTTCCTTAGCTGGCAAAGAAAGCAGCACCTGCAAAAGGTGCCTACCTTCTCAGGGGGACACACTTTCATTTCTGCCTCCACTGAATTGTGAAACTAATTCAGCAAGTCATCTAAATAATAAAGGAAAATGTAGTAATGCTATTGTTACATGCAATTTATTTTATGTATACAGCACAGTTGGAAGTTCACACCAAAGATCAAAAAAAAAAAAAACCAAACCCAAACGAACCCAGTATAGGACCTGATTTTAAAAGAGCCAACATCCATCTTCCCCCTGCTGAGTGCTGCTCTGATGGCAATTTTTGAAAATTCAGCTTTTTTTTTTTTTTTCAGGTATGTAAAGTGCAAGCTGAGCTCTTTTGAAAATCCAGCACCATGTATTTCACAGATGTACTGTTTCTGATAGTCTTGCATGTTATGCAGGAAAAAAATAGCTTGAAACTTGTGAGAAAGGCATGTACATCTTGGCATTTCACATCCCCTCCATCAGTCTAACAAAAAACCCGAAACTACTTAACTACACAGATTTCCCCTCACCACTTACAGTAACCCCTTAACTCAATATCCTTGAGGTGTGCCTTCTGATTACAAAAGGGAAAGAAGAAAAAAGACTTTCTAGTTTCAATCCATTAGCTGCTCACCAGGGGATCCAGTCTAATTTTTCTTTTTTGAGTATCAAATTCTCTCAAACGCAGAGTCACCAGTCAAAAGCACAGGGGCTCCTCAGAGAGGAGAAAAAAAAATTGCTACTGTGGAGTCCTTCACCTCCACAAAGACACACCAGAAGACAACAGCTCCCGAGCCAGATGCTCACCCAGTATAAAATTAGCAGCTTTATTCAAAAGCCACTTCACGCATTGCAAAGCCAGCAACAAAACTTACAAAACACTGCCTAAAGGTTGCATGAGCTTTAATTCCTTTTTCCCGACCATGTCTTACAGCATGATGCACACTCCCATTCAGTTCTGAAGGACTTAGTGCAAGGCAGAAGCCAATTTAAACAAAACCAGGTGCACAAACCAGCTGGTTTTGGGACAAACTCCTCCCCCTCGCCCAAACAAACCCCAGTTTCTGTGCTTAAGGGCTTCCAAGCAAGTGTTGTCAAGGTCCAGTGTAGAGCTGCCTGGCTCATCCGAAGGCAGCCAACTAGTAATTTCAGTGGGCTCAGCACAACAGAGATGTGTGTGGCTGTCTGCTGGGGCTTTGAAATAGAAATGTGCAATTCCCTCTAAGAAAAGGCACAGCTAAGACCCGTGGACAAATGACACTTGCGATCAGGATCCAGGCTGCATCTTGCTGTGCAAGGGGTCTGATCACCAGTGTTGGGTTTTGTGTGTGCTACTGCAGCAGCAGCACAGGCACCCCCCAAGGCCATGGAGATGCAGCAGCGCAGGCACCACAGAGGCCATGCAACCATGTGCTGTGGTGTCTCCCTGCTTCAAAATACTTAACCTCCCTAAGCAATCAGACAACTTTTATTTTTGTTTCAGGGATTAGTTTTCCCTTTGCATTTGTCTTTCATTTACATAGGGCTGAAAATGGGAACAGGCAGGAATTCAAATTACCTGCCAACAGAGTACTAAGAAGCTGACCTAAGTTGACCAAAAAGCCAAGGGCAAATTGGTGACCAAAAACAAAAGGGCAAATTGGTGTTGGCTCATCCAAACCAGCCTGTATTCAGCTGCATGCATGCTGCTCTCTTACCACTGCCTTGCACAGAAGCTCAACTGCAGTGTGCCAGGGACAACATGGTATCTTCTTCCTTGCAATATCCTCTATTTGCAAGGGTTGAATTCACAGTCTCCACATAGTAAGAAATATATTTAAACCATTTTATTTACAAATAGAACTACTTATACACCATGGACCAGTTTGTCAAACACAGTGTAGACTAGGACTGGTATGCCACATAAAATATAACCCTCTTCATTAGCCAGTTAGTCATGCAAACAAAAGGGCCACATTCATGGAAGATCTCAGTGGCTGGCACTAGTAAACCAATCACAGGTATTTTGTATTTTATCTCCTATCCAGGCCAGATTTCACCACCTTTATGTGGTGTAACTCTATAGTTGCCTCATCAGACTGGGACTACTCACAGAGTTAGTTGTTAGTTTGAATAAGCGATAAGAACAACCTCAAAGACCTTCAGGAGATGCTAAAGAGAGAGGAATCCACTTGCTAGGGACTTCAGCATCAAATAAGGACTTTAAGAGTTCATCTGCTCTTACTCATTATTCCCATCCTACTTGATTACGAGATGAGAACTGGTTTGTTCAGAAGCAGACACAGTATCACAATCTCAGGACTGAGATTTCAGGTTAATAATAAGCATCTAGAGCAGGTGAACTCTTAAACTCTTCAGTATAACTTTTAATAAATATTTTATTTTAGAAGGAAAAAAATACAATGCAAAGCAACACAGCACATATTACAAATATTCAGAGTTCTCCATCTAATAACAAACAAGAGGGTGTCCTGAGATTCAGTGAGTACAGATCTTTCAAAAGGTGGAAGTATGTAGTCCACATGGTTAGTAATTGGTCCAGTCAAGGGTCAAACTGAAACTCATGTCATGGATCTATCTATTCTTGAGTATTGTCCTGGTAAAGTTATTCTTGCAGTGGATTGAAAGAGGTCCAGACACACTCAAAGTCACTAGGTGATCCACAAGTTTAAAGAGCAGGTCTGATCCACTGGAAAGGTTGCCTTCAAGTCTGATATCCAGTTGGAAAGAGGGGGTGGAGGGTGAGGCTCCACTTTTCACAAGGTGATTCATCCCTTTGCAAGAATTAGAGCTAAATGTAGAAATCACTCTTTGTTTGAACACATACATTTTCAGGACTTTGCTTAAGCAGGCAGAGCTCAGGACTTGGGGCGATATTCACCAGTTTTAGCTTTTTTAATCTTTTGCTTTCAGAAATTTGTCACTACTACTATTCTTTTCTGGAATAAATGCATCCAGACATCAGTTTGAAAAAAAAAGCAGTGCAGTAATTGGGATTTTGCTTTGCATGCGAGAGGGGGTGGAAACAGTGGCAGAATTTAAAAGATGTGCTGAACATCTACCTTTTCAACCAGGTCCTGTAAAAAGGCCACAGGCTAGGTGCCCACAGTCGGCAGTCCCATCAGCATTATGGCCAACACCTACTACAGTGCTACTAATTTTTTTCAGAAGGTTTTATGAATCCTTTACATTAATCTTTTTTTTTTTTTGGCTTTTCTAGCAGCAATTCTCCTGTTCTCCTTTCTCCATTTGATTTCCACATCTGTCTCCTATGCAGTTTAAATTTGGAAAAGATCATTTTGGACGGTATTTGGAGGCAACCTCTTAAATTGTAAAGAATGTTTTACTGTTGTCATCTGGGAAAAGCTAGCTACTTTCAGATGTTCCGTTCACCTTTTCACCTGATCCCCCCAAGTCCCAGCTCTGGAATATACTGAACAGTTGCCTCTGTTAAAAATGACAAGGAACATTTAACGAAAATTCTCTTTTGCAGAGTACAAAATGGTTTGCGGCTCCCTTTTTCAGGGAGAAAAAAAAAAAATGAAAACCTACAGAAAACTGAAACCCCCAATATATCAACCTTTAAAGAACTTCTGTTGTTGCAGTGTTTATGTTCTGGAGAACCCATGAGTCTCAGCTGAGCCCACCCAGGAGCCACCCTTTGTTGATTTTAAGGGCAATCTACAAGTTTACATCATCCTGAGCATGTAGTTCAAGTTTTCAACATGGGACACCTTTCCTCTTAAGCCACTATGATGGTTTCTTCGTCTTTAATAGTTGAGAATGTAGTCTTTTGTCTTTTTTACTATACCTGAGAAGGAGGAGATAAGTCTTGATTTGGATGCTTGGCTAGCTTTTTAATGAACCTTTCACAGTTATCCCAAAATAGTCCCAAATAGGGTCAAGCCTTTTTGTTAATGCAAAGATGCGCTGAGTTGCTCAAGAACTAAGCCCGACTCATGCATCTTTGTCCAAGGCAGGGGAGGAGTTTATTTGCTGGCATAGATATCTAACTATTGGGAGTTAGTTTCAACATTTTCACTTTCAACTGAAATTCAAAATGGATTCATGAGATGTGTTCTTTTAGCTTAAAAGAACCCAACCCACAAACAAAACTCAGAAGCTCCCCAGGCTCTGAGGCATCGGCTCTACTGCACTGCTCTGCTGCTGTAAAGGCCCTGAAGAAAGCTGAAAGCTCAGACATGTGGTCTCCACTGGGGCTAGTAAAGGCCAGAGCAGGATGACACTTGTGCTATACAGCACATACTGGGACCCATTGGAGTGGGCCTTAGAGGCAGTTTGCAGCTGGTGAGGGTCAGAGCATCTCTGGCAGCCATAATCTTATTTAAAGACTTTTAAACCAACTTGCCTTTCTGGCTAGAACTGTACAGATAATGGCTTTCTTGGTTCACTGCCAACTGGAAAAAATGTTTTGAAATACTTCTTGAGTATCCTGAAAAGATTTTTGCGGGATACTTTTAAGATTTCTGGAATATCAAAGAGTAGGGAAATATTTAGATTTTTAAGTCAAATTAATGACATAATTTCGCAATATAAAATGTTGCACTCAAAAAAATGAGGGGTTTTGTCAGTTGGATGAGATGCTAAGACTGCATCAGCATAGGGGGATGCTAAGACTGTTTAAAGCTGCATGAGTAAGTAAACTTCTACTTGACTGTCAAAAACAACCATTAATTTGGGGTTGAACCCAACATTTCTCTCACCCAAACCAAAACATTTCATTTCTGAGCATTTCTTTTAGAGCTCTTGAATTTGCATAAAACTCTAAAGAGGAGCAAACTGGAAGCTTTATTGAGACTTAATTTCCTTTTTTAATTCAGCCAAGCAGCAATAAGTCTGTGATATAATTTAGACAACCTTCATTTTCTACCAGAACTTGCACTGGTAAGACCTGTGAGCTGGCACAGCAGAGGGGAATGTTCCAACATTTTCCTTTTCTTTTAAATTACTGCCTCATCCTATTCCTCCTCTTTCCACTCAGCCTCTATCTGCATCTTTCTGCTGCGTGGACTCTGACCACTCTGTGGATGGACCTCTTTCTTGGTCAGCATTTGTAGATCACCAGTCTAAATGGAGCTTTGAAGCCTGGGTGTTTCTGTGAGTAGGTAAGGAATGGTGGAGTGCTCAAAAGCCAAAGTAACATGGCACGTAAATGCAGTATTAGCTTGGAAATGGCATGTAAGGGTCTCAAGGCACACAAAAGAAGATCTCGGCAGAAATCCATGCACCCTGAGGTGCATATCAAGGTGTAAGGGATAAATATTGGTGATGTGAATGGTGCAAATATCTAAGTGAGAGCAGATGCACACATGGAAGGAGTGCAGGAATGTCATGCAAAACTGAACTCCATGGAGATGCTGCTGACCTGCATCATGTGCAAAGGACCTCCTATCCTGTACAGTGAGCTTCAAAGCAAGCCCTGTGCCAGGCAGGCAGAACTGCTGTGGTTCTGTGGAGTTTTTTTTGTTTTATTCCTAATCCTCAGCATGGATTCTGTATATGCACTGGCAAATAGCATGTGGTCAGAAGAGCCACAACCTTTTCCAGAGCAGCACTGAGCATAATCCTTCCCATTCTGCCTTAACGCCTGCACTAAACTGAGCTCAGATTAACCCAGCCAGAAAGGCAGGCTTTGGGATCAGTTTGAGTAAGTGGCAGGAGGAAAGTACAGACACAATTACACAAGCAAGGCACGCAATTCAAAGTGGAACATACCAAATTAGCAGCCATGAAGTTTTTACCGAGTCATTTGAATGCTGTCACGCCAATGGTAGTCATACCCATGTGCAAAAGCCAAGGGCGCATTCAGAGGGAAGTCTTTTGATGAGGGAGCCTATCCCCTAGAGCTGTGGGTTTGCTGACACTCTTCTGTTGGCATCAGCTGTATTTGTGCTTACTTCTGTTAATGTTGAATACTGTTTCTTGCCTTTACTGGGCTTGACTGGTCAACTGTGAAACCAGCTAATCTGGTGTAAAGGCAGTATACCACAGCAGGGACTCTAGCTCCTATCCATTTAATAGTAGGGTGGCTTTTTTTATTTGGCAATAACCCCAAATATTCAACTGCTATTATGTCAAGAGGCATTTATTCAAACTGAAGCATTGATTTCTGTGACCAAAGAAGCCAAAGAAGTGACTGTTAAGTTAATGACTGCCAATGTAGTGACTGTTAAGTTTTAGTCTTGCCTGCACTTGTTATCGTCAATACAATGCTAAAACTGCTGACTGCAAACGAAGGGTAATGGTTTCCTCTCTGCAGCGTCATCACTGCATGTTTTCGAATGGTTTGTCTGTCTTACCACCCTCTTAAATTCCAGAAAATGATGTGAGAATGATCTGGGCAGTACTCACTCTAGGGTCACCTGAGCCACAGCATCCATCGAACTGTATCCATTCTCCATGAAGATCTCTGTGTACCGGCCCATTTTGATGGCTTCCAGCCACTCACCCACTGACCTGTAGGCGCCGCTCCCAACTGGACTGTGCTCTACCAACAGATTTGATACTCTAAAAACAAGTGAAAACATAAAAGCAAACAGAATCAGTATTGAGAAGTACCCAACGTGACTCAGTTGCTCACATTTTCATATGGTAAAGATGATGCTTTTGTTACGGTTTCAGTGGTTGGTGAAGCCTAAATCCTCCCAGAAGGTTTGATATGCTGTGTTTCAAACATCCTGTGACTTCACCCACTTTAGACTCTGTTCCTGCCATTTCTGGTCCTCCCTGCAAGCAGAAAATGGAGAGGACTAACATCTATCCCCGTTACCTCTCACCAACAAGCAGGCTCACTCTTACTTCAAAGTCTCCCATTTCACTCTTCCTGCTCTGTTTTCCTCATCCTTCTCCTTTAAAGCTCATAATTAACTTAAGATAGGCCAGAGCCTAGAAGCCGTAAGCCAAATTACATTTCCCAGCAGTGGCCATCAATGGTAGGCTGCTGTTAACACTTCAGGGACTGCTTCGGCGAAGTTGGGTGGGGATGTCAGATACAAGCAGCATTCGATGAGCCCTGCAGAGAGCAGCAATGCTCCAACCATGAATCCAGAGGTAGACTCCTGCTCCTGAACCCTTGCTTAAGGCCTCTCTACTGCAATTGTAACCTGCTCAATGATGCCATGCACGGAAGAAGCAATTCAGGCAAATAATAACACTTCACCGCAGCAGAAACACTGATACAGTACCAGGAACAAGCGACCAGTGCCACGTACAGGTCCACCACCCTACTAATGATGCACAGAGGAAAGAGGGCTTGTCCACGGTCAGTCAGGAAAGAAACTAGATTTGTCCCTTGCTTTATAAATCAGGACATACAGCTAATGTAAGCCTTGCATAAAGATTATTACCCACAGGTAAAAAAAGCCCCATTTTTTCTGGGTCAGCCTCTGACAGTGAGAATTGTACTTAAAAGACTTTCAGTTGGAAGGAGAGCTGGGATATTATATTATAGCACTTCAGGAACCTTCATATATTTTACGAGCACGTTAGTATTATTTGTTTATTTAATAGTAATGCTGAAGGATCCAATAAAATGTGAATACTTGCACTACCAAGAACATAATGGCTTCCCATAACATTTTATACACATAAGAAATTCAAAACTCCTAAGTAATCATCATGAGAAGTGGATTTTCATGACTAATGTCAGGAGGCACCTACTGATATGCACATGCTGTAATGTAGAGAGTGACTTCCTCCCTTATTTGCATTAATGACAATTTCCATAAAAAATACATTACATATATAAAAAAAATCCTTTACAGCTGCTGTATGTTGAAACTGTGATTCATTTGGAATTACTGTGGTCTGAGCATGGCAATCTGTAACAATAGAAACACATTCCCAAAGCCTTGCTGCTCAGGTGCTCCATCCATATTGGAAATACCCACAGAAGCTCTGAAAAGGAAAGGCTTGGAATTGCATAGACATGTTCACGGAATAAAACATCAGGAAGGTGCTTAGCAGCTCAAGGAAAGGTCTCACAACCTATTTTCCTCTTTCCTGGCATAACAGTTTGGTATAAAAGACTGCATGAAACTCTGCATAACAGGCCTGGAAAATAACTTGTTCTAAACTGAAAATGAAAGAGAAACACCACATATTTTATGCTATCATAAAGCTTTCCCTGCAGGTTTGCTGGGACTGACACTACATCTAATTGCTAATAAGAGTAATTTCTTCTTCAGATGGTAAATGATACACGCAAAATAGCTGGGTGAATCAGATCTACCTTTTATTTAAATATTAACAGAGATTTCATGTTTCTTCTCTTCCAGTGAATGACATGCCAGCACAGGGATGTGAAGTTGAGCAACAGCAGTCGAGCAGTTCAAGCAGGTGAAATAAGCCACATGCAGCTGTGCAAGACTCACTCAAATGGTGCTCACAACAGTACATATGCTTGTGTCCACACTACCAGTCCAACCTCATCTTAGATCCCTTTCATTCCTGTCCAAGGAAAATGATGTGTCTTTTTTTTTTTCTCCCCAGAGAATAAGCTTTTCTAAAGGGCCTCTTCCAGTTTAAATCAGGGGAATTCCACTGCCATCAGTGAAGCAGCAATGACTTATATTCATCATTTCTTCATGACCTTGCAAGCCACTGAGTGATTAGCAACACGGATGGCTCAGAAGTAATACTTGTGTCCTCCCAGTGGAAATAGAAAAAGCCTCTCCAAGATTCCAGTATGGTGGAGACACTGTTACTAAAACTCACAAAAAAAATATTAATCTCTCTTGATTAAAGTGCAGCTTTATTTCTTGACCATATTTACCTTATTGGAGCCATGCAGCTATTCATATTCATGTTTAATTGTGCACCCACTGTTCTATTAACTTAATGTGGCTTTAGTAAATAGTTTGTGTAGAACTTTGGGAATCACAGAGATCCTCTTGTGATTACCAAGACTATCACAACTGGCAGTGGTCGCTAGCATGCCTAGGAATGGTTGTGGGAGAATGTACTTGGGTATAGAATCTTGGACATAGAATAGAATTGTCCGAGTTGGAAGGGATATTAAATATCAACTAGTTCCACCCCCCTGCCAAAGGAAGAGACACCTGCCACTAGATTAAGTTGCACAAAGCTCCATCCAACCTGGCCTTGAAAGGGGAACCAGGGATGGGACAGCCACAGCTTCTTTGGGCAAACCTGTTCCAGTGCCTCAGCACCCTCACAGTGAAGAATTTCTTCCTAATACTTGACCTAAATCTTTCATTTTAAAGCCATTACCCCTTGTCTATCACTACATGCCCTTGTAAAAAGGGCAGCTTTCCAGCTTTCTCATAGGCTGTTTTTAAGCACTGCAAGGCTGCTCTCCAAGTCTCTTAGCTTGTCTTCAAAAGGAGGTGCTCCAGCCCTCTGATTGTTTTTGTGGCCCTCCTTTGGACTCACTCAAGCCTGTCCATATTCTCCTTATGCTGGGGACCCTGGAGATGGATGCAGTACTGCAGGTGGGGTCTCAGGAGAGCCCAGTAGAGGGGCAGGATCACCTCCCTCAATCTGCTGGTCACAGTTGTTTTGATGCAGCCCAGGATATGTTTGGGTTTTTGGGCTGTAAGTGCACACTGTTGGCTCATGTTGTCAAGCAAAACTCCAAGTCCTTTTCTTCAGGGATGCTCTCAAGTCATTCTCTGTCCAGCCTGTATTTGTGACTGGGACTTCTCTGAACCAGGCGCAGGACCTTACACTTGGCCTTGCTGAACTTCCTGAAGCTGGCATTGGCCCACCTCTGAAGGTCCCTCTGGATGGCATCCCTTCCCTCCAGCATGAGGACTGTACCATCCAGCTTGGTGTCATCAATGTCTGTGAGCTTTGCATAGCCTAAGACTTTCCCCGAGAGATGCTCTTCATTTGCATCACCAATATGAAGTCAACAGGCAAATAAGTTGAGCAGTGTTTACTACCTGCTTCCTGCTCTAAAGTCTTGCCCTCTCTAATCTTGTGATAGAGCACAGGTAGCTTTATCATAGAACTATAAATACCACTGAAACTCATGTTTCTGAAAGACAGGTCACAGTAATTTTCTTTGTGGCAGCAGCACTGCATTTAGACACTAAGTGAATTGCTCACCTGCCTGCCAATTTCAACAGAAGTATATTTGGGAAAAATCCTCTAGACATAATTAAACTGGAGTAACATCCACCTGCAGACACGCAGAGGCTAAATAGTAAGTGGTAACTCAGCCTCAGGGGCAGGTATTCAGACAAGAATCTCACTCTGAGAAATGGCTTTGGCCCTAACTTGTACCTGCTCGATGCATTAACCAATGTCTTCAAGCTGCTTGGGTTACGGATGAGCTTGTCCAACATGCTGACGATTTCATCAAACTTGGGCCTGCTGTTGCGGTCTTTCTGCCAGCAGTCGAGCATTAGCTGGTAGAGAGCAGCAGGGCAGTCCATGGGACTTGGCAGGCGATAGCCTTCCTCCACGGCTTTAATCACCTACGGGAGACAAAACACAAGGCTGATGGCTTGCTTTTCTTCCTCTCGTCTTTTCCCCAAATGCAAACTGACTTAAACAGAGAACTCTGGGACCACCAATATGCTCAAGCAAAATCCCACAACTCCCCAGCTCCACACACAAGAGGCAAACCTGTCTTTCATACTGTCTATGGAATGTGTTGAATAACTTAGGTTTTGGTCACTGCAAAATGAATCCAGAAAGCCACAGCACTGCTGCAACCGGGAGGGCAGATTGTCATGTCTCACTTGTTCAAAGCTCAGCCGAAGGCTGTAGGTTATATACCAGGAAACTCCCAGAGCCTACCCTAAGTCCATGAAAAGCAGCCTACGGGGCTTTCTGGCATCTTCTTGAAGTACAGTGATTTTATTTATTCAGATGTTGGCTTCTTTCTAAATGAAAAAGCATGTGCTAGACCACAAATTTGTATTACAGTAATAAAAGTCTGACTGCATTTCAAAAGAGACTTTGAATGCTAATTGATGGATGGATTCAAGGCAGAGGCAGAATAACCATCTCATATATCATTCAATACTGTCTGGGTCTAGTTGTTTCTTAGTGTGGCCACATTTCTGCCAGGAATTTAAAATGTCAGCCCAAAAGTATATAAATTAAAACCAGGGGAGGGTTGTTGCGCTGATTTCAGATACAAACCGTCTCTGGTTCGGTATCTTAAACAAGTGGTATGCACATGTGCTGCTGTCCCTCTTGAAAGGCAGAAATGGATAAATGAGGGGAGAATTGAAGAAAGCAACTTGTTTTTTTCCCAGTTTGGGGCAGATTTACAGCAGGGCTTCAAGATAAGCAGTTCTCATTTAGAACCATTACGACTTTCAGGAGAACACAGCTTGTGTTTCAAGCCACAGGGGTCTGTGCTCATGCCAAGAGTCTCGGCAGCCCATCTTCACACCCTCTACTCCCAAGATTCCTTGTCCAAAAGGAGCTGGAAGCAGCTATTTGCAGTGTGGAAAACCACAGCGCTTGACTGCTTGACTCCAAGAGCTACATCAGATACTATTCATTCTAGGCACCATCTCATGATTTGAAAACATCCTGTGTTCAAAAAGAAGGTGCTGTGGTTAGCATGGAAGTTGTTTTCTTGATCTTTAGTCTCTATACATGCAGTACAGGAAGAGCCGTGTCGAGCTGGCATTGCATTTCAGAAGGCTCTGAAATTCAGGACCACATGTATCACTTTAAAATTATCCTCCACCACACAGCTTCTTGCCAAGTGGAAGCGTCTCAGGAATGAGCTGGGCTGGCTGAGCAGCAGTAGCAGGAACCTTAAACTCCCTACGGATGTATGTAGTTGAGAAGTAGGTGAGGCTTTGTAATCTTCTCCAAATGCAGTGAGCACATCTGAAGATTTGGCCCACAAGACCTGCAGTGCTTTTGTGCCCATTTAAGATTTCATCTGTCAGTAGAGCAGTTGCACTGCTTTCTACCTAACCTGTGCTTGCAAAGTAGTCTCTTCGATGACCTGGCTCTTGCTCGCAATATCAGAAACCAGCCCCACCACACTATGCTATCTGCACTGTCTGTTCTTCACATCATGCTTTTCAGCTAGTCCCTGATACTAGATTTGTAGCTGCCCTATTAAAAAAGAGCCTCATTGTGGCACAGCCACAAGATTATTATTTGCTGTGTCCACATCTGTATTTATAGCAATAACGGCTCATCTTCCAGGTGTAGGAGAAAGAAAATAGTAGCAAGACAGGGAGTAGACCATCTGGCACCAGCTCAGAATATCTGAACTACATCTGCAGTAGGGTTGTGCATGTTTGATATTCCTGGCAGTAAGTAACATCACAATCAATGTCTTTAACTTGATTTACAGGATGTCGTTTGTTCTAGCGATACAATGTAAATGGCATCAAAGCACTGTGAGGAGCTAGGATACTGAAATAGACTCTTGCATCTAAAGGTGCCTTGGGGGTCTGGCATTAAAAGGAGCAAAAGAAGGAAGCAACAGAGACCAAGTCACTTGTAGCCACCACAATAGTTAGAAAATAAGAAAGTGGCACATTCGCTGTTCCATTCATCAGTGTATACTGCTTTGTAAGACTTGAAGAGCTAAAATTTGCACCCAAGGAGGCATTTTTGTCCCTGTTCTTCTTCTGGACAAACACTACTCACTTATGGATTGGGGTCACTGAACTGGGTGTTTGGGAGATGATGATTTGGGATAGTCTATTCCAGTAAATCAAAGCAACAGTTCTAGCTTTCTTTTCATAAAACTACCAGTGTGAATACTAAAAAGCAACCACTGTGATCATTCAGCTTAGCAACCTGTGTAACACGCCACAGAATTCCTCCCAACAATTCCTGCATCAAAGCCTTATCTTGTGGTCAAGTCAAAGCATATCTTTAGAAGGTCATTCAGAAACTAGCATGACTCTAAACCATGGTCTGTAGCCTTTACAGTAACAATGCTGCCTGCCCTACAGCACTGCATCTCCTTTAAAGCAATCCAGCTGTAACATGGTGAGAATCATTTTGTTCATTACTGACTGTGCTTGCAAACGATGTGATTTAATTACAGCCCATGCAACAAGAAACTCCTGTGCAATGGAGTCCGAAATTCATGTGAGTAGAGACACCATGTCCTCCGTATGAAAGCTAAAGCTGTATTTAACACCACTGATTCTTCTGTCAAGACAAGCAGGGGAGGAAAGAAGAGGCAGCCTTCAGAAGATGGAGAAGGAAGCCATAAATCACATAAGAAACATGCCACAGCACTGAATCAAGTTTCATAAGCCTCCAGCATCCAGGCACTTGCCACCTTCAGAGGCAGAGGTAACCCAAGCAAAACCTGAGCAGAACTGATGCTCATAAACATTTCACCAGTCTTCTACTTTCTGCTGCTAAAGAAACCAATCCCTCATCCACTTCCCTTCAGGCAAGCATGAAATTCGTCGTGCCCCACAGTGCATGGAGGCATTTGGGCTTTTCAGAACAGTTCTGCAAAGTGTGGATATTCATAGCAGTATGGTCCAGACATGGGACTTCCCCAGCCACAGAGCCTTATTTTACTGGCACCAGCTTGAATCTTAGCCTGGCATTTACTGAACAACATCTGTGCTATGCTGAGGCATCAGCATTAAAGATAGTTACAGAGCTCAGTGTGACAAAAAAAGCTTGGCTCTCAATTGCTGCATTCTCCGCACAGGCTATGCAAAAAAGTCTCTGTATTTGACTGAGATAAATCCCTACGTAAATACATGCTGCGTTACCAAACTCCCTGCAAACGTGACAGCTTTGGCAGTGCAGGAGTGGTGGGGCAGTCATGCCAAACAACAAGCTTGTCTCCCTGGCAAGAAGCATGGCGTGACCGTCTCAAAGGTACCACTCATTTCCACGCCTGGACTCAAACTGAGACGAGACAGCAGCTTGGCGTGACAGGTAGTAACGGTAGTAACATCCACTGATAGCAAAGGCCTGCAGAGAAACCACAGGAGAAACAGAATGCTCAGCCAGAGCCTTTGCTGCCAGTGAAATGACAGAAACTCACAGGGATACTGCTCAAAAAAAAAAAGATGAAATATCAGGTGTTGTGACCAGAGGAAACCATGGTGGAACAATGACCTGCTTGCTTTGCCTAGCCGGCAGCAGCACCTCCACAGGCAGCAGGGCTGCAGAAATGTAGTGGAAGGTATGAGGAATGACTCTCTTTTCCACACACAGGGGTTGCATTGTGCTCCACATCAGAAAGCTGTTTTGGGTGGCCCCGCATGCTTTATGGTGATCCCTATGTCATGCACTAACTGGCATTCTCAGAGACCTCCACACATCATGGTTCTCAGAGATATGAAGAGGAAGGTGAGGCACATAAAATCTGGCAACCCCAGACTTAATTTTTTTTAGCCTTAGACAAGGACAGATGTTTATGATGAGCTCGGGGTTGGATTTAGCCCTGCAGCAGGATGAAGGGATCCATACACAGGCTGGGATCAGAGCTGCGACAGGAGGAAGACAATGTCCCCAGGCATCTCCCTGTCTGGCGAATGCTTCAGAGGGTGGCCTTGAGGTCAGAGGCTCAAGAAAGCAGGGGCACAGGAGCAAGGGAACTTGAGGGTGCTGTACAAACAAAGCATTAACAGCTTGCATTAGGACAGACTTACAAGATGCTCACAACAGGAACAAAACTATTCTCTTGAAATCAGCAATGCAAGGGCAACCAAGAAAGCTCTCTGGACTGCTGACACTAGATCAAATCACCCAGCTTTTGTGCAGAGAAACAAAGCCCTTACCATGACTCCCCTGAGTTTCTGCTTTACGCGGCAGCAGGGGTTTGAACACACAATTGAAACGCTGCCAGTTTATCAGTATCTATCCCCTGGCAATCTTTGTCATTAAGCAGAAGAGGGACAGGCTCCAGCTCTAACAGCATTAGTGAAGCTCCAGCAGTCTGCTGGGGGAAGCAGGCTTGCCTCTGTGCAGACACATTTCCCTCTGCACACAGTCAGCTCTCTGCTGCTGCCGCTGCAGAAAAGAGCACCAAACGGGAAGAACATTTTTGTCAGGCATAGGGGAGCAAAGCCATTTTTACAGCAGCTCTCCTCCTCTTGTCCCCATCCTGCCTCTCTGCTTGCAGAATGAACACCAAAGCCCTCAAAGTCCCAGCACGCGGCAGCTGTCACACATGCTTACATCTTGGTTTGTCATTTCCCAGTAAGGCCTCTCGCCGTAGGACATCACCTCCCACATCACGATGCCGTAGCTCCAGACGTCACTGGCTGATGTGAATTTGCGGAAGGCAATCGCTTCGGGTGCTGTCCATCGGATGGGGATCTTCCCTCCCTAGAAGCAAAAGAAAAGGGAAAAAAAACCCAAATCAAACAAAACCAGATTGCAGAGGAGGGCAGAAAACATGCAAAGGAGGATGAAACAGAACTTCCTAGAGCATCAAGGGATGTTATTTTCTCTCTGGAAAGAGACATCGAATTTTAAAGTAAATCTGTTTGACAGCATGGGGCCCTTTTTCACATTATCTCAGCCCATAAGCATTTGTAGGCTGCCTACTAATTGGCTGTCCTGAAGGTTTGTTGTTTGAATGCTGTTTGAATGCTAGGACATGTATAGGATCAACATCTCAATTATGTTGTGCAGGTTGGTAGGGGAATACAGTTCCTCCATTTCTGAGAGCGAGCTGGGGAGGAACAGACAGCTCTGAAGCTGAGGAAGACTTTGATCTAATGCGGGATACATGCAAATTGCTGCAGAAATAATGCCTTTTCTTTTTTTAATGCAGTCCTGATCCTGCAGAGAAAGCTTCGTAGCCAGCACAGGAACCTGTGTGTGCAAAGACCAGTCGGCTTGTCCTCTGCCATGGGACTGAAAATGATGCCACAGCTGTCAAATGCGCTTTGCTGTTCCTTTTCCCCTTTCTACCATTTTAGAAATCAAGCTTCAGACCAGCTCTGAGAAGGAAGAAGGGAGGAAGAGGAAAGTTTGGATTAAGGAATACTTTTCTCATTGGGTTTAAAGAGGTTGTCTCCCTTGATTTATTTAAAAATATATTTTACTGTGAAGTCCATCCCTTTCAGTGTTGAGCTAAGTACTGGAAGGTCTCCCTGAATGCTCCCTAACAGTGTTTGTTATTGGAAAAAGGCAGAATTTGGAATACATTTTCAAAGTAGATTTTAAAAAGTCCCTTCTTCCAATAATTATTTATTCACAGGCCTATCAGCACATGCCTTAAGTGATGGGCCAGATTCTCAGCAGTGCCAATTAGCACATGGCAGCACATTGGAATCACAGCAGGGCTGGCCAAGAGCCCTCCAACCTGCAGGGAAACTGCAGTCCAGTCGTGCACTGAGTCCCATAGTGGGGCTGTGACTGCCAAGAGCTGAAAGACCTTTCCCAGATCTCCACAGGAACTGGGAATGTGACCCAGAGCTCCCACTACCTGTTAAATAATACCCTTGGAAAAGCACGCTAACAGGACAAGTCTGGGTGTGCCAATCCCTGCCATGAACACTGGAAGCTCTCTCCAACCCTGTGCTGCTGAGGATGGATCCTGTTCACCCCCTGTCTGTAGTGCTGGGCTCATGTGACCTTGCACTGGGATAGGTGGGCTGAGGCCATGAAAGGATGAATAAAGGATGGAAAGGGGCAGAGCACCGAGGCTGAAGTAGCTCTTTCTCAGACTGGGGGAAATTACCTTCAACAGAGTAATGTTATAGACCATGTGCATCATTTGCAACAATATTACATGCTCACCAAAGTTTCAAAAGGGTCAAATTGTCCAGAAGACTGTGGCTTACATCCTTGCATGGGTGCCCAAGCAAAGCACTTACTCTTTCCTTCCTTCGGTATTCACTAAAGAGGACAGAAGGAAGCCTGGCACCTTTGCAAAGTTTACTATTCCAACTCAGGTGCTCAACATGAACTTAGTTAACATAAAGTTATTAGTTAAGTTCTGCCTTATTTGGCCACCTCCACTACGAAGTAACAGGCATTTGCAAAATTAATCTGACAACGATTAACTGGTAATACCTGGCCAAACCCTTGTGCACAGTTTAAGGGCTCTGGATTTGTAGAAACCTCTTTGCTAGAAAGCCTGAATGCCAAAATTTGGCAGGAATATGTTTTACTTGTGCTCAATCATTTTCTTGAGCTCCTAACTCACCCTGGTAGTGTATGCTGCTTCGGGATCATCTTCTAGGACTCTGGAGAGGCCAAAGTCTGACACCTTGCAGACTAAGTTGCTGTTGATTAGAATATTCCTGGCAGCCAGATCTCTGTGTACGTAACCCATGTCAGACAGGTACTTCATTCCTGATGCAATGCCTCGCAGCATCCCGACCAGCTGAATGACCGTGAACTGCCCATCGTTCTTCTGCAGAAGGAAGGAGACATTTGATCAGTTAAGAGTCTCTGCACCCTCAGCATTGTGTGTGCATGAATAAACTGCAAAGGCAAGTCTCCAGGGAAGAAAAACAGGGAAATTAATAATTCATTACTCTCATGCTCTGACCATGAAGCTTTTCAAAGTTTCATTGTTTGGATTAGGATCTCTAGAAACAAAGCTAAGGAAATGTAGTTCTTTTAACTGGAGATCAAGGAACAAGCTATTTCTACTGGTGACTGATAAAGAGATGGTGACTGCGAGTGAACACATGTAGTTATGAGTATAAAGGAAGGGGAGTGGGCTGTCTCAAAGTCAGCCAACTGAATGGCACCAAGTTGCATAGAAATCCTACCTGCAGAAGTCCATGTGTGAATATCTGGTGTTAGGGGCTCTTCCCCATGTTGCCACACCACATTTCTAACCACTTCCCCTATCCTCCCTTCGCTAGCTCTTATGTTTAATGGAAAAACTGACAAGTCTGGGGTTTGCCATGATGTAGTGTGGATGTGCTCTTGAAACACATCAAATTTTGCAGGATAAGTTAATCATTTCCATGCAGTAGACTGCCTTCTAAAATAAACATCCTCCAATTTATTCTTATCTGTTCATATCAATGTACACACCAGGTCCTTCATGATGCTGTATAAATGTAGATCAGACAACCAAGCTACTCCTGCCTCCAGACAGCATCAACAGCTGGACCACCACCCAGCAAACATTTTCATTGATATTAACCATCTGCAAAGAACCCAAACTGTAACCAAGATCCCCCTGGAAAAAGGGTCTAAGAATTACCTTTAAAAATGTATCCAGAGAACCATTCTCCATGTATTCAGTTACTATCATTACTGGTTTGCCTGGAAAAAAAAAAGTGCATGAGTTTGTCAGCATTTTATTTAAAATAACATGAACAACAATAAAGTCTTTTCATAATGCACCTGAATGCGAATATACAGCCATGCAACAGTAAATCTACAGAGACACTGCTGTCCCAGCAGGATAAAAATAGGTTTTGCCATAATATATGTAGACATAGGGGAACTGAGGAGTAGGGGATGAAAAAGAAATCCTGTATTATAGGTGGGGTACCAAGCCCTAAAGCTTATAGGCAATGCTTGAGGAAGAGGTTGTAAGGATAATCTGAAGTATCTGTGTGAGCTTGGTAACCACCAAGACTAAGACCAGGACAGAATGGTATTACATCCCTTGTAATTCAAGTAATCCCATGTGACTATCCTTGTAAATACATCTGGAAGAAAGAATAGGAATATTTATGCTGCAGAACAAAAGCAAGTTAAGTATGGAATGAGTTGAGTGGAAATCAAAATAAAAGTTCTTAACAAAAGACCTGGTCTCCTATTGTTGACAGGAATAATAATGTTTTTCCAAATCCATTTGATTAATTTTCATCCCCGAGTCATTTTAATGGTAATTTTATATAGTTTTTGCTCAGATTTTATATCTAATTTCTCGCTAGCTTGCCACAATGACATAGCAATAATTAATGTGGTGTGCTCCAGCCCTTGTAAATTCAATGAAATCTTATAAGCACACGTAAATTATTTTTTATTTAAATCAATTTCCATTAGCTAGCATGAAGCACAGACAAAAGAGGAACTGTCAATTATTTGTAAAGTGCATTATAAATGTTTTTCATAGAAACGATCAACAAGAGTTGCTGCATGTCATAACATGCACATGAAGGTAAATGCTCCTAAAAATCCGCACATGTTCTACCATTTAGATTGATCTTAATCTTCCCACTTTCCTGTTATCTTAACTATTTGCCTAATTTACTGCTTAATTATCCACATAATAAAGGTAATTGTAAACTTGTCAATCAAAACACTCATTGTGCAGATACTATTTTTGCAGCATGAGGGACCTGAGCTGCTTCAGTTCTTTTAAGCTAATATCACTGTTTCTGCCTGAGCTTCTAAGCTTCCTGAAAGTATTACTTTTGATATGAAAAGTGCACCCTGGGGACATGAAAAATACCCTTAATTCCCAAAAGAAATAATGGGCTCCATCTTCAAGAATGACAGCTGTCTGTCTATGCACATGGGCTGCATGCAAGAGGAAGGAGAGATCTCATGCAATGTTCCCATAAGTTGGCAAACACATCAGTAACTACACAGGGAAGGAAAATACCAGGTATACCTCAATTTTATTTTATTTTTTTATTTTTTGCTTTTAAACATTAAACCCTGTCCTGGGTTCAGCAGTAGCAGTCATTTTTCTCCTTCTTAGTAGCTGGTGCAGTGCTGTGTTTTTGACTTTAGCCTGAGAATGACGCTGGTAACACCAATGTTTTCAGTTGTTGCTAAGTAATGCTTACTCTGACCAAGGACTTTTCAGCCTTTCATGATCTCCCAGTGAGGAGGAGCACAAGAAGCCAAGAGGAAGCAGAGACAGGACACCTGACCCAAACTAGCCAAAGAGGTATTCCATACCACAGCACGTCATGCCCACTATATAAACTGGGGGCAGTTACCCAGAAGGCCAAGATCACTGCTCGGGTCAGGCTGGGTATCGGTTGGCAGGTGGTGAGCAGTTGTATTCTCTTCCCTTGCTATTTCCTTTATCATTATTATTATTGGTGGTAGCAGTAGTGATTTGTGTTATACCTTAGTTACTGGACTGTTCTTATCTCAACCTGTGGGATTTACATTCTTTCAATTCTCCTCACCATCCCTTCAGGAGCAGGGGTGGAAGAAGAGGGGGAACGAGCGAGCAGCTGCGTGGTTCTGAGTTATCGGCTGGGCTTAAACCATGACAAACCCTCAACTGTAGCATGAGGTCCCTTATCTGACACTGCAAGGCAGCATTGCAGCGAGACGGCATCTTGTTACGTGACCATTCTGGAGGACCTTCAGACTCCTGCCTTTGGTTGCCATCAGAGAAAAGAAAATAGGATTTCTGGCACTTATGTTTCATTACCTGACTGCTGCAGGTTGACAGTAACTGTGGTATAAATTAGCCCCATATCCAAAAGCATGGAATTAAAAGATACAAATAGAGTATTTTTCAACAAAGTAAATTAAAAGTAAACAGTGGCCCTTCTAAAGCAGTAGGCTGATTCTCAGTATCAGTAGGGCTCCCTCCTGGCATTACAGGGCCATAAAATATGTGTAGATGTCATTCACATCAGTGTACTAATGCAATGCACACACCTTCAGTGCAACCAAAAGGATGCAAATGAAAACAGGACTGTCATTACCTTTGTAAAGCAGAAATAGCTAAGGGCTTGTCTGCACAGGGACAATGAAGATGATTAGTCCAAATTAACTAAGGTGTGCATTTGAACTAGATTAGTTAAATGGTATTAAGCCCCTGTGTGGATATTCTCATTCAGAATTAAAAATGGCCTAATTCAATTTAACTTAATTTACTTCCAAAGTAAATCATGATGCAGCAAAGACATTTTACCCTAAAGATCTGAATCTACAACAGCCCAATGACTAAAATACTGCAGGGAAAAAGAAGTTAAACAATACTTGGAGATAGCAACATAGATTGGGATTCATAAAAGCTGGTTTGGTCCATTTAAAAGAAAATAAAAAAGCTGGGAAGATGCTCCAGATGCCTGATGGAAAAAAATTTGAGTGCAGTAAACGAGCATTTACTCAGCTAATGAGGAGCTCACGGTGAACATGTGTCCTTGCATCCAAACTACTGTTGCCCCAAGTTCAACTTAGAAGCAAACCTCCCAGCACTGCCATGGCCTTTGGAGCAGACAGGCACATTATATAAAAGAAACCTCACTAGGGAGGCACATCCTCTCTAAAGTGGGATTCCCACCCATCCCCTGAGGCCTCAGCAGACAGAAAGACTCAAGCCTGTGTCAGCAGTAGCCTTTATGAATGTATAATCATGACTAGCTTCTTGCCCAATATCCCGCATCCCTGCAGTGCTAGAAATGGGAGCTTTTATGCATTAAGGGGTATACAGGGAGACCCTGAGAGATCTTCATATTTATTCAATTTTCGGGGAGAAACCTATCTTGGTTATTTTTTTCTTTTCTTGAAAGTTTTAGGAAATGCAATTTCAAGGAAAAATGCAAGAAAAGGCTTTTGATTGCAAAATAGCAAATTTTGGAGATGCTGACTCTGATGAATGACAAACGGCACTAACCATAGCCGCACGGCCCCAAACAACAGCATTTGAACAGTAGTAGCTAAGCTCTGACATCACCAATCATGAAGAAAAGGGGGAAGAGATTCTTCTGCCCTTATCTTTAATGAATACAGTAATTTAGAGAAGAACTGGGCTGCGAAAGCTATGGAAGATTATTTTGCTAACTGAGCGGTCAGACCTTAGTAACTCTCATGCTTACATGTTTTGCCAGCCATTTCACATTTTCCCCAAGCCTTCAACCCCTCTCATAATCTATATGCCAGCATCAGCAGCAACTATAACTATGGGCATCACCAGCAGATCCCAGAGGGAGCTTGCCTTAATTGTGGTTGTTGTCCTGTTGTCTTCAGCTACATTGCTGTTCTTCTTCTCTGTTTCTGGAAAGGAAAACTTCCGCTAACTTCTGTCCTTGCTCACATGCCCTGTGAGTGATCACAAGGCTCAGCACTACCCTCCTGTGGGCTTTGCTTCAGTAGTTTCTCAAAATATGATGGCTGGAAATCATCATGAATTGACGGGTTTTCTTTTTTAATATATTTATTTACTTTTCCCAGACTCTTGGTAGCAAAATCCTCCCCGTTTGCCTGCTAGGGAAATTGCTTCTTGGCACATCTTTGCTCACTCTGGAGCCCACGTGGTTTGAAAAGCAAACAAATAACGGCAGGAATAAGAAGTAAGCCTTCTCAATAAGCTTAGCGGGTGGCTTAGCATCACTGCGTTCAAAATGGTTTTGCAGGCAGTAGGTGCTGCTGAACTACTCACAAGGCAGCAGTCAGGCAGTACACTTCAGACATCCCAGGCTTACTGTTGTCTCCATCACCTGTCCACTGCCTGAGGCTGGCAAACCATATAATCTCCTATTTCTGTCTCATTTAATTTTGGGCTTCTGAAGAGGGATTGCCTCTTAGGCCATGCGCATCATGCCTAAGTGAGGCAAGGTTTGCAGAGGGAGTTAACGTTTCTTATCGGTTTATCCATTATCTATCCTTTCTAGCTGAAAGAACACCAACATCCTTTGGGCCCAAAACCTCTTTACAATGTTGGGGAACTTGTTCTTGTCTGGACCTACAGGGTATGAGGTAAAGCGAATTCACTGCTTTGTGAGAAATTAGGAAAGGCACAGTCAAACACGTTACCCAAGTCTTACTTCCTCCCCTCACCCAACTCTCCCATCAGCCAGAGTTCCAGAAGAGCAGTCCACAGAACTTGTACCTACTTTTTGTTACAACACCTTCCAGGTGGATGATGTTGGGGTGGTCGAACTGCCCCATGATGCTTGCTTCTCCCAGGAAATCTCGCCTCTGTTTCTCTGTGTAGCCCACCTTCAGAGTTTTGATAGCCACTGGAAACTCGCGCTTTCCCTGCAGCTTCAGCCGCCCACTGCAGACTTCCCCAAATTCACCTTCAGAACAAAATCAGAAAGAATGGGATCACGTGGAAGGAATGCATGGCACGTGTCCATCTACAGCAAGCAGTCCAGCCCTTATAGACAACTGATCAAAAGCACGCAGGGCTGTTCCACAGTCACAGATGTGGAAAGCTGAACATCACAGTGATCACCCTCTCAGTCAGTGTACCACAAGCCAAGAAACTCATAGACACACACAAAAAAAAAACAAAAACAAAAAACAAACTAGGAAGAAAAAAGTAATTTTCCTATATTTAAAGAGCTATGTTCCATAGTCTATTGTTTTTTTTCCTAATTTTGTCTAGTAGATGAAAGAGTCCTATCACATCCTATATCATCGCCCTGTGTAGACAGCTTGCGTAAAACACAAGCTACTTGCTTCTTAACCTTCCTTTAGTAAGTTACATAGATGGAATGCTGTTAGCCTTTCACAGCAACATATATTTTTATGGACTATAAACCCTTTCTGATTTTATGACCCAAAATGGATTTTTTTTCTTTTTTTTTTCTGGTGAACAGTAAATTACCTCCAAAACCATAATTTCAGAGGATAGAAAATATTCCTAAGGTTGGATGCAAGTCCAAACAAACAGCTTAACTAGAAAGAAAATGGGAGTTGCTTCTTTTAACCAAGGAAGTTGAAAGCTTTGGACTTTGGTTTGTGTTTTTTTTTTTGTAGTTGACTTCTTATTCTTACTTTTTGTTTTGAGACTGACCTTAATGGGGAGGAGAAAAAGGTTAAAATGGTGAAAAGAACCTGAACCCTTAGCATCCATTAAAATAACTCAGCTTGGCTGAAATGTGACCATTTTGTGCCATTTTCAGTTCAGTCCCTGAGTTTCAAAACTGCAGATAATGGCAGGTTTTGTTTCACACTTCAGCTGGAACATACTCTCCATCACTTGCAGGGTACCTAACAGCACAAGTATTTCATGACCATTCCTTGATCTCTTGTGTTAAGAAAGCCAACCCTCTATGCTGCTAAGGATCATGAAATGCATTTCCATACCAGCTCCGATAACTCTTTCAATGGTTATGCATGAAGCTTCAATCTCCTTAGCAAACTCATGGACAGCTTGGTTAGGGTCCTCATAGGTGTGGGGGTCAATGTAGGTCCTTACTCCAGGCAGCTTAACTGGAAACAAATTGAAAGCATTAATGGCACATGGCATGACAGAGGATGGGCAATAGACATTCCTGTCCTTTGCACTTTGCTGGAAAAGCAGGAAAACTGCAGCAGGGAATGTTATTTCTATTGAAAAAATAAATAACTTTCTTGGAAAATGACATTCAGTTTATATGTGACATACATGTAATTTCATTTGTTTAGAAAAGCACATGACACTGCTTGAGCTGGAATGATGCACAGCTAAAATTCCCTCTCAGTGCTGTGTAAAGGGCCGGTCCAGGGTCTGGTACAAAAGGACCCTTTTCTGGATCTGGAAAGGGTATGCCAGGAGGAAAAGTACAAAAAGCTAAAAGTTAAGTGAACAATTTGCAGAGCAAGTTGGACAGATGGAGGGTGATGAAGACCTGCAATAAATTATCCCCTACTAGTCACAGATTAGGTCATCAATCAGCCACATTATTTCAGACAGAATTACTGAGATAGAAATGAACTGAATGTTTGCAGTGCAAATCCTGTGGGTTGTACCAATATAAATATAATCAATAGCAGGCTTTTTCTGCAGGACATGAGAGAAAAAAGAACTATTTTCATTATCCATATTATAAGTTTATTTTGACAATCATTAAAGTTACTCACATGAAGAACTGCTCATCAGTCTAATGAGACAGCTACATTACACTGTGGCTTTTAATTGATTTGCTTCCTGCTGCCTTCATTACACAGCACTAATGGAAATTTGACTTTCACAAGATGTGTTTGCCTTTTCCACCCCAAAAGGTACCTTGCTGTTACCCATTCCCAGTTCCCACAGCACCGTACAAAGGAATGCTTTTCAAACAACACTGGCTTTGGGTGTTCAGAAGGACTGACAGTAACCATGAGCTGTATTTTCTAGCATCACCACAAAGGGTTTCGTATACAAGGGCATTAACACAGAATTTCTGAAAACTTCCTAGGAGCAAGATGTAGGCATTACTTCTCATGCCTCTGCAGAGGCATCCAAAGCAAAGAGTAAATGTGGGTTTGGTCCTTATGGCCACCTATGGGGGGTGGAGTAAGGGTTTCAAGCAGGTATTCTGGACTGACAAGTCCCGACCAGAAAAATGTAAAGTTGTTATGCGCTGACTGGGCAAAATTAATAGCACCTTGGGTCACACAGCAAAGACAGAGGACAGGAGAAAATGTCTTGCTAGAGAGATCTGTTGGAAGTGTACAGGTGTGGATAACTGGGCACATATAAGGCCTGTTCAAATGTTCAGTTCTCCATGGAGCTTAGAGCAGGGGCAGATGTGGACTTACAAAATAGCAGAGCAAAAAAATCTTCTGTGAATTACCAGCAAACCCAAAATTTAAAACAAACAAAACACAAAAAATCCTTCCCCAAACCAAACCAAAGAAAACCCTCTCAGTTGTATGTCTTACTGCTACTGAAAGTCAAAAACACATACGTGTGTGTTTGATCTTTACTCACTGTGGCCATTATGAAAATGCATCTTTTCTTCTTCTGGATCTTGTTTAGCCTTGCTATAACCACATCTCCTGGAAAAAAAAAAACGACAAACAAACAGAAGAGTGTTTTTGTCTCTTGTATGGCAGAACCCCACTCTTTACTTCAAATCACACAAAGCACAGAAACCCAGAGCAGCGATAAACCCAACCTCTCTAGCAGCTGTATTGCTGCTGTCCCAGTTTTAGCTCATCAACTACTTGCAATTTCCCTAACGGGATTTAGGGCCCAAGGCCCACTGATTTTCAATTGGACTTGTGTTTGCAAATCCCACAGATGATTCTGAACAACTTCACTCTACTATACATCTAATTCAACTATTATTAAGAAGACAAGAAGGCAAGGACAGGAAGGACATTAAAGGGGAATGGGATGAAATATCAGAATCACAGAAGCAAGATCTACTGGACCACAGAGCTTTTTGCAGGCACCATGTTGTATGCATTGCATGCTCCCCTCCATCCACTGTCCATTTGCATAGAAATTTAAATTTCAATACTTTAGAAAAAAGCCCTGTGTAAATATTATACATGTAAAACCTTAAACACATGCAAAATAATGGCTTACAAAGCAAAAAAAAAACCCAAACCATTGCCTCAGTGCCTTCAAGGGTCTCCTATGTATTTCTGGGTTTGAAGGGGTTTTCTGCATGTCTCCTATCTATGCAGGGAAGCTACAATTCATGCAATCCCCTCTGCCCAGCACCAGTAAAGATGAAAAAAGACATGCAGTCACTGCCTGATTGATTGCTCCCATGTTAGCACCCGGAAGTTGCAAGGATACTGCTGAATCCTAGCCACAGAGTTGCAACCACAGCCATATGAGAGTCGTACCTTCCACAGGACATCTTCCTCATATTAGCCTTTGGCTGCTCTTCCCTGACTCGTCCTTCACTCTTCTCACTGGTTCTCTAGGCAATGTTATTTCATTAGCATTAACTGAATGCTTTGGTGGCATTTATGAGATCTGCTTCACTTAAGACTACCATGTAAGAAGCCACAGGGTAACTGCATAGGCAAAACCTGCTATATACTCACATATATATGCACATTTAAGAATACGGAATGCGGTATGTACAATGCACATACATGCACATATGATGCCAGTCTTTCCAAGGACCTGATGTGATAACTGGGTACAGGAACTGGACTGACCTTAAAGCAAACTGCATGAACATGAGACAGAAGGACATTGCCTGGTAGAATGGAAAACCTGGAATAGACACCTACAACCCATCTAGCTCACAGTGGGACTGCTAGCTGGCACACTTCAAAGAAAGCCTCAGATTACCAAGAAACCACGTAAAGCTGAGAGACGCTGGGTCTTTTCCATTGCCCATGATTTTTGAGATAGGGGGATGCAAGCACTCCAGCACCACTCACAGCAAGGAGGAGCATACAATTAGCAGAAACAAAACTGCAATTAGGAATAGGGAGTAATAGGCATCTGCATGAAACATGCCCTCAGCATGAAGTCCTGCTGTCTGCTTGGATGCATGGGGCCAAGCATTCTTTCAGCTACAGGATTTTGGCACTGGATCTGTGAAATGATCACAATTACAACAAAAGCCCCAACACAGTGAGACGCATGCACCGCTGCTGAGCTGGCCCCAGCAGAGCTGGGCAGACAGAGAAGGGGAAAAGCAACGTGAGCTCCTTGGGTTACTCCAGGGAAGGGGAGCAGGCACTTAGACTTACCTTGGGGAGAAGGGGACACCTATGCCAAGGGGAGAGGAGGAAAAAAGTCTGCAAAGGTTGTGCAAATGCAGGGGAATGGATCGAGACAAGGTGCAGAAGAAAAGGAAGGAGGCTGACAGGCAGTCCTGGGACACAGGCAGAGAGACAAACAGGTTGCACTTGAGAAACAGCCAGGCTATCTATCCATGCAGGGCATGATTTCAGCAGCAGAGATCACCACACTCTGAATGCAAAACCTATGAGAGTGGCAATGAGGCTCAGTTATTTGCATGTCAGTACTCATCACCTTGCTCTAGCAGTGGCAGTGCCATTTCCCCAAGGTGGGGTCCTGCCTAATTAACTCAAAACCTAAGGATTAGGTGTACACATTGAACCTGGGAGGAAGGGTCATTTAAAAGCATGTTTTGGTATTCACAATCCTTGGGTGAAAATGGGTTCTTCTTCATCATACTGCCTCCCCTTAAAGTGTATAAACTAGAGTGGTATTATCAATTCCCACTTCTGGCAGTCCCAGATTTTTCTGTTCCAAATTGTCAAAAGTTACAGCCATTTTCCACAGAAGTACTTTTCTGGATTGAGGCTTATAACTCAGTTCTCCTCTGAAAAAAGCACAAGTGTTTCAATTCATCCTTCTACCAAATGCACATATACAAGACTGAATCTGTTTGCCTTTTCAGAGCAAATGCCCTTATCACTTCCTCAGGTGTGGAGTACTTTACCTATAAATAAGCTTTCTAACATTATCCTATTTACTATCCTCATCTACTGGTTCTTTGACCACGAAGAGAGAGGAGATAGAAATGCGGAACGTGCCATTGCTAGCATTCAGTGATCCAAGAAAAAGCATGCGTTGATGCATGATGGTCCATATTTTACTGCCCAGGGACACACTCAATGAGACAGTGTGAAACAGTTGGCTCTGGCCGTCCCTCTTTCTCAAGCTAGGTAACACATACAGCAGCACATCACATCAGCATATGAAATAAGGCTCTGGGACCCGCAGAGCATCATTAAAAAAAGTTCTGACAAGACACACTGAAGTGAAATGGCAGTAAGTGGACTGCAAACAGCAAGCAACAGTTGGGTGCCACTAACAGCTTGCTGCAAAACCTATCTGTTGCAATCACTTGCACCCTTTACATACTCACTTCCTTAAACTACCCAGAGAAACAAGCCATTTACACGTTGACTGGGGCTAAACTGCACTTCTTCCCTTCTTGACCTTCAGATGCTTTAAATAACACACACAACTATTTTTTTGTCCTTTCCTCCCCAACTAAATACCACGAAAATCTGCTGTTTCAGGTTAACGGTCCTGGTTCACGATGTAAATCTTACTGGCAGATAAAAGTATCTAAATATTGTGGCTTTGCAATGTATTTTGATGAAAGAAAAAACACCCACTTGTTTATGAAATAATCCATTTCTGCATGTGTATTGCTCTTCATATTTATCGGAAATGCTGCGAGTCAATAGCCTCCTGATGGAAGACTCATTCTCTAGTTTATTGTCATTGTACAAACCATAGATTTCCTATACCTTTTCTATATCACGTACAGCAAAAGCATAAAGATCCCGACACTTGCTTCATCTCCCACTGAGCTGGAGACATTCAGACAAAGAGTTAATGCAATTCAGCAGCACACCTGAATCTCAACTCATTTACTCTTGTTGTGGATTTGTCCCAGTTTCTCTATCTAGAAAGCAGATGTCTTCATTGCACAGCTCTGTGTTTTTCAATAAAAATATCAGAGGGAAAGAAAGCGAGACTTTAAATATTCTTAAGGCATCATGTCTTATTTAAAAACGAGTTGCAGATTGGCAGGCAGCTCATAAAATATTTATGGAGCAGATTATAAAAGTGAAATTGTAAAATGATCCCTATATAGGTTTATAAAATATAAAACAGACAGGTAGAAAGATGAAGAATCCAGCTGGGAAACCAGTGACCACTTCCTTGAATGGCAGAAGCCAACTCATGGAGAAAAATCTGTCAAGAAATGAGGCAGGAAGATGTTTTTTTTCTCCCTGGACTGATAAAGATACTCTGTGTCTGACCCTGTGCTTTGGGGTGCCCTTACCAGGTGGAGTGTGGTCCCTCAGCCACCCAAGGCATTCCCAAAAAAACACAGAATACCCAAGGGAAGCGGTTTCCTCTTCTTAGCCGGGGCCACCACACTGGTCACAACCCACGCAGGACACAGTCAGAGAACTGTGGAGTTGGGCCTTGGCCATCCAAGCCCTAGTAAGTGATGTGGGAGAGTCTTTACATACTTCTTTTATAGGCATAGGCCAAAGCATTTCAGCACACAGCCAAGCTGTTATTGGAAATGCACAGGGGACTGCACTTAAGACATCCCCAATGAGGAAAGGGACCTCACCTTGCTAGATGCAGTCAGTACCATTGAAAGGCTTGTGTCCTGAAGCAGCATGCAATCTCCCATCCCAGTCCTGCAGAGAATCATTCATGTATTTAATCTCTTAAATATGAGATAAATGAACTCTGTGCATTTCTCTGAAACAGCGACAAAATGCCAGTTTCTTTTCAGGGGCCAGACCTCCACTCAGAAGCACATCTTTTACAATAAATCAACTTTGAGGAATGCATCAAACCCATCTTGAGCTGTCATTTTACCAGAGGTTTGTGAGAACTGCAGGACTGTTGTTTACAAGGGGTTAATGCTCATTTCATGCCATTGATTCCAAGATGTTAAAGTAATAAGGCTGCATACGTGTTGCAGGGCAGGACCGTGTTCCACCCAGAGGAACAAACAAAAATGGATCCGTCCATCTGGCCAAGATCCTGTCGCCTCAGCTCTGGGTCTGGAGACAATAACTTGTTCAGCAAACAGCTTTAGCCTGGATAAACAACACCAATCCTGAGAGACAGAGGCAAAAGTCTACCTCTAGCAGTGTTGGTCTATGTTCAGCATTCACCTTTTCTGCTTGCAATTCAGTATTCAGTATTGCAAAACCAGGGAATACTCAAGGGACTGGTGTAAAATGAACAGCTTTTATACTGGAAGTTGTTTCCCATTTTTCTGTTCACTTTCCTCCTGCATTTTTAAATGTCTATAAGGAGTTGCTTCCATCGTGCTGGATCAACCTTTCACCTGGAGTAACTTGGAGCAACCCGTGCAGGCTGGGAATATGACTCATTCAACTACTTTATCTACTCTCAAAGTCCTATAATTTGGAGAATGGGATCAAAAGAGCAGGAAAAGGTCTTGAGGTGACAAGCTAAGACATTCATCTCAGTTCAAAGACACACTAGACAACTGGCCTGAGGTAGGGTCCCTTCAAAACCACTGCAGGCTCACTGGCCTTCGCAGCAGCTTTCCCCAGCCACTGCTGTCCCCCTCTACACAATACTACCCTGCCTTGACCTCTGATTAACTTGGATGCCTTACAAAGGAAGTTTCACTGTTCCAGCAGTGGTATTTTTAGACTTTAGTCTTTCCCTGCCTTCACACTGAATGACTCCTCACCTTCCTAAACCACCACCAGAACAATTGAAAATAAACAAGATCCCATTTCCCCTTCTTGCAGGAAGCTCCCTCTGAAGTGATCTCCATAAATCTCGCTAAAGAGGTTGTTGTGCCTTCCCACAGCACAGCTGACAGCATCCGTGCCTTGTAGTCACTTTTCCCATTTTCCCCTCCCAGTCTGCTGCCACATTAGTTTCTGCAGCTTAGAAGGAAACCTGTAGAGAATGCTTTCCAGGTCAGCCAACTTTCTCTTTGTAGCCGTTCAGTCCATTGCTGGTCTGAGAAGTATTTTCCATTGCTGCCACTCTCTGGTTGGGAGTCTTGCTGAGCACATCTGAAGCATGACTTCCACTGAGGGACTGCTTGTGCACTAGTGGCACAGGCACAACAGACAACAGAAGTACTGGGAGGTTTTCTTGTAGCACAATCGTTGCTTGCAGGAATGACCGCACATACCAGAAGAATAGTTTGCAGCCTAACACTTTGAGCTGAGCTTCCTTGCTTATTAATGTTGCTCTTAAGCACTCACAAAGAAAACAATTTAAAAATGCTCAAACAGGCAGGAAAAAAAACCAAACTCCTCCGCTTTTAGGCCTTTGAGATTTGCATTAGAAAACTCCTGCCTGGTTCAGGCCTCTGACAGAGCCAAAATACAGCATTAGAGAACCCAAAGGTACTATCACTAAAGCACACATGACTGCTGTGCCCCACAGCCAGGGACTGCACCATCACCCAGCTCCCACCATATAAATCCTCAGCATCCCTCAGAAAACACAGTAGAAGAGTTTCACACCTCTCACCCAGCTGTGCTGCAAATCCTTCCCAGTTTAACAGCACTTATGGGATGTTTTAATGCTTCTGTGGTCTCAAGCAGCTATCTGATGGGGATGGTGATTGCATGAGTCTCCTTAAGGCTTAAGAAGATCTTTGTCAGCACAGATTACAGCTCATTGAAAGACCTAAAATATATTCCTTTCAGGAAGCAACCCAACTCACGTCCAGTCAAACCAACAGAAGTTAAAATTACTCTTCTTTTGATTAGTTAGAAAAGAGAGAAGAGTACAAGAGAGCAGGATCTGGTGAGACATCTCAGATGGTGGCAGAACAGGGCAGCATGCAGCACGGATACGCAGCTCTCGATGCTCGCAGGGATATGCCCAATGCTACTGAAGCATATCATTGGCAAATAGCATCATGTCATTGCCATGTAGGTCATACATCGACACGTGTCGATGACAAGCTGTTCGTTTCACTGACATGCATGTTACATGCCACTAAATACCTTTCCACTCCCACCTGCCTCCCACCTCCTTTCTGAGGGCATGTTACCTCCCCCAGCCCCTTTTGGTGACAAGAAGCAGAAGAATGTGTCCAGCTTATATGATGGTTTATTATGACACATGACGTTGCTGGTGCGGTGTCTGGATCAAGCACAGCATAACACATTAGTTTGGTGGGTTTTTTCCCCTTGAGACCCCTGCTCTTGCTGGAGACACACTCTGCTTCAGGTCATGCTATTTCCAGTTGTTGAGATAGACATACTGGGTGCAGAGATCAGAAGAGAAAGCGATTTCCAGGCCAATACAAGAAAGGCACGGAAAGGCAGACCATGCACAAAAAACATGGAGGGAGGACACGAAATAGGAGCCAGCATGGGTGGGAACACTGACCATGTTAGGTTTGGATAGGCAACAGCACGCAGAGAAGAAGCCCACCCACAGCCATGATCGCAGCAACTGAAAAGCAAACAAAAAGGCCCAGGATAAGGAATAATCCCACTGCCCTGGCAAGGTGAAAGTACATTTTGCAACATTTCTATATGAACTTCTTCCATCTTATTGCAATTATTATTTGGACCTTAACACCCTGGGCTGCAAGAATTTCATGGCATGTACTACTGATGGGGAAAAACGCCTTGGGAAGAATGCATGGATCTTGGTCCTGCAAAGCAATTAACCATATGCTTCCTGTACTTGAGTACAACTGTTAGGATTAATGGGGCCACCCATGTGCTTAAACTTAAGCATCTGCCTTGGAGCAGGCAAAGGGACTTTTTCCACAGGTGTGTGTGTGGTATAGTACAATTTCCTTTAACAAAAAAAGCACTGCATGAATGCAAGCCCTGCTTGCGCATACCGTTATGCATGTACTCAACTACGCAGCTCTTTCTGGATCTCCTTGTATCAGTGAAGCTTTTTGCATGTGCATTATATGTCTGAAGAAGCAGGACAGGTTGTGTGTGAGCATTCAGTCTAAATAAACTCAAAATATGGTGAGTAGAAAGGTATTGCGTGCATCCACAGCTTGCTTTTGAAGGCTGCTGAGCCCTTACTCTAGTCCAGTCAGAGTGTGAGTTCATCTGGCATCAGTCCACAACCCAAGGTTGGCTTCACCTCAGTAACTGACCTTTATCCTTGTCACAGAACTTTGCATGGACAATTTTTAAGTTACCAAGTCTATTAAGGTAATTCATCCTGAAAAAGAACACACTGCAGAAAAAAACAACAGGAAGAACTTCAGTACAACATACAAGCAGCAGCCCAATGGTACAGACATACTCTGGCTGGAGTCAGCTGAAGATCTCACTCATCACTTCTCAAATCATCATAATATTTCATTCTTGAAAAAAAGATTGTGCCCATCAGATTTTTATAAAGCGTAACTTGCAATGCCAGAGCATGTTAAAATAGCCTATTTAGACAAAATTAACATTCTGCGACTGCATTGCCTTGAATTATGTTTCAAAATAACTTCAGGCATGCGATGGTTTACAGAATTACATACTCAATTATGTGCTTACTTAAATTAGAACTGGTGCAGAATGTCTCTCTAAGCTCCTTTTGCACCAGCAAAACAACGTGCTAATTTTCTAAACAACGTGCCAATATTTTTTTACTGTAATTGACAATATTTTGTATATTCATAACGCCCTAGCTTGTGCAGTCATACTAATATGGGACCAGCTCAGCTTCACAAACCTCTCCATTGACTCGAGTTAATACCAGAGATCCAAAACTCAAAAGCACACAAAGGGAACTCAGCCATTATATATTTGGAGTCCATTTTGCATTTTCTGGGTTTGACCTTGCAGGATTTGAGTGCAGGGAACTGGCAGTCTCCAGAAGATCACTATGGCTCTGGCAATTCAGCTCATATTTTAGCTAGGAAGCCCTTTTCCCCAGGTATTTTCTAACGCTTGCTGTCACCAGACCTTCCCACACTACCCAGCAAGAAAAGTCAAGGGTTTTGAAACCATAGTTCAATTAACCTGAAAAGCAACCACCCTGTTAATATGAAAAGAGCTCGTTGTTTTTTTACACAAAGAAAACTCTTTGAGCACCTCATCAGTAACTGGGCTGGTCTGAGACAAAATCAGTTCTCTGCACTAAATGCAAAACACTTCAGATCTCATTTGCTCCCTTTATGGAGAGCAAAAAAATGCTCAAGTGTAAGGGAAATACGTCAAATGCAACCTCATGCCTGCACAGCCGTCGCATAATGCTGTGCACTTAGGGTGAAAATACTCTGAGGTGTAACATTAGGGGAAATCTAAAGCTGTTAGAAACAAACTAAACTGGATCAGCAGACAACAAAATCCACTTTCCAATCCCAGAAGCGCTTGGCTAAGTAAGTCAATGGACTACTTGGCTGGCACAGTTAAGACAAAGGAAGATTTATTACTGCTTGTGTTAAAAGGATGGCTTGATTTGGCAGACAAATGTCAGAATATAAAAATCCTGAGGCAAACAAAACTGGATATTAAACCGCAACAAACCTGCCGTGCCCTCATGGCCACCGCACCTGGGTGCTGATGGCTCCTGGTAGGGACAGAGTTTCCCTGTCTTCTCGCTGCACACAGGTCTTGGTTTAGAAACTAAGAAGGTGAGAGCAAATGCTTTCCCAGATGAGATCAAATGCTGTGGCAGGATAAGAGATTGCTGCTTAATGACATACTTCCAGACCTTTCTGGGGTTTTAAGATCTTTGACCGGCAAGCTGACCTGTACTGGGGAGCAGTCAGAGTTGAACCAAGCACTGTATACATCAAAATTATCTGCAAAGTCTCCTCCAGCATCATTGAACTGACCAGCAGACTACAAGGAGAGCTTGTGGGGACTGCCTCTGGCCCCAGTGGGCGGTCAGGAGCCCCTCCAATCTGCTGCAGGTTAACATGACACATCGAGGCAACATGCACCAGTTAAGGCTATTGAGAGAACATCTACAGTGTTAAATCGCCTTTGCTAGGAAAGAATGAGGTGCTGAGGTAGCAGTGTCTCCAAAAGCCAAGCTGGCTTGAAACAAAATGTGACTCCTGCTTTGAGGCCTGGCTTCAAGGAAAGGGCTGCAAGGTGGGCAAACACAAAGTAGAGGAGCCTGGAGCTGCAGCTGCACCTTCTGAACCTCTGTGGCTGGCTGGCACTGCCCCACTTTTTGGCTAGATGAACTTTACCTCTTCCAGCTATCTCATGTACACAAAGCTGATACAGTTCTAGCAAAGGTGACCCCCACAATGCCTATGTGGTTTGCAAGCCCAACTGTCCAGAGAGCAAAGTTTAATAAACCTGTGCTAGGAGGACTTATCAACACCCTTGGCATCATTTCAAACCCTGGGCTACATACTTTGTTAATGAAATGTATATATCTGATGAGCACCAACAACTGTGCCTGCAATCAACGTAATTAATTTACCACAAGTCAGCAGATGACCCAGACAGCATTCGGAATTAAACTACATTTCTAGTGGCTAGATAGATCTCGGAGAGGCTGTGCCTTATGTAGCTGTGGCTTTTAAGAGTTATAAGTTGAACACTCAGAGTCATGATAAATGAAAACCTCATTTGTTGCTTTTAATAAGCTACTCTAATGGGATGTTCTTCAGAGGCTTGTAATTAGAGACTGAAATACTTGAGGATGCCTGGGAAGATTTTTCTAATCCTTCATACAGCCTTAAGCAATGCAATGATTGCTTCCTGCATCTCCAGGTCAGGAGGCCAGCACTACACCTAGCACCTTGTGAGTAAACATGCTTGCTTTAAACATCAGAGCAGCAACATTACACACTGTGAGCTGGCAGAAATATATTTCTACTTTGCCCAGAACTACACAAATGTTTACGAAGTCATCTCATTGTCCTGCTGAGCTATACCTAGTTCACATGTTAAAGCATGCCTCCACACTGCCCAAGCAGACGATATCTATGCAAACACTGTGGGGAAGAAAATGCCCTTGGAAAGACCTCTGGCATTATGTACACAAGGGGCTTTCACCAGTGCTCAGCAGGAGCCTAGAGCTGCCACCACTGAAGTCAGGCTCCATTTTCAGCTTGAAGGGCCACCCAGTTCCTTTCTTAATGTGGAAATGAGATTTGCAAAATGCCATCAAATATATCATCTGAATGAAGGTGAGGAGCTTTCATCACTGACTGCTGCACTGCCCCATATTTCCCCTGCTCAGACAAAGCTTATGCCACCTGCTCATCTGTTCATGACGATCCTGCTCCATTCCCTTGGCTGCTGCCAGAATAACTCAGAAATGATCCTTTCAAGGGCAATGCCTCATGGGCTTACAGACTTGTTCAACTCTCACCTGTCTGGGCCAAAGTCATCTGAAGGCAGATTAGCCTGGGTCCTTAAACCCTCCTTGAAACTGCAGCAGCTCAGACTGGCTTGTGGAGCCCGGTGTGTTTGCACAGATGTACTAAGCCAAAAAGTGCTTAGAATAAACAAGAAAAAGGTGTTGGAGCAGCCAAATTTGCCAAGACAATCTAGGCAAGATGCTGAGATGGGAAATACAGGCAGCAGATTTCCACACCGGCCCTTGGAGGGCATCACCCTGTGCAGAAGGGTGCACTGGAGCACTTTTTTTTGTTGGTGAAGGATCCTTTATACCAATGGTGCTAACACTTATCCCTGAGAAAACATACTGCCAAAGAGCAGCGAGGCTGCTAACGTGATGGCGGTAGTAAAACCTTGACCCAAACAGAAGCAGGACCAGGCCCTCCTGCTCTTTGTGGATGGGAATTTTGACTTGGCAGAGCAATAGCTTCTCTAATAAAATCCTCTTGTCAGGTGAATCACGGGGAATATTTGGCAGTAGGCGGCATCATAAAGTGGCTATAAATCACAGGAGACAATGTCCTGTAGGAAGAAGGAAGAGCAGGGAAGAATGTAGATAAAAATCCTTTAAAAAAATCACAACTAACAAAAACTGTGACTCATGCTGGAAAAATTCTCTATGAGAAACATTATCTACAAACTGTCTCCTGTTTCCTACAGAAATATCAAAAAAGCAAACTATTTTAAGCCTTGACATATCTTGGAAAATAGGATGGGGGCAGGTTGTGGAAAAATTCATCCATTTTGACCTTCCACATCACAGAGGGCTGCAAACTCTGGCTCAGGACCTAGGATATAAGCCATAATCCTTTCATCTTCTCTACTCCCTGAAAGTCACTTTTAACAAGATGCACATATTTGTGTCCAGAAAGTAGCCCTTTGCCACCACAGGGGCTGATATTTAAAAGTCTAAATCAGCTAAGGTCAAGGATGGATACTCCAGTGCAGAAGTCTCTAATTGCCAATACCCAGATGGCAAGATTTGTCTTTGCTTTGTCTTTTGAGAGCTGGTTCCTCGCCAGAAAGAGACCTTCTGTGTATGCACGACACAGGGTGAGGGGCAGTTTTTTGTTGCTTCAAATCTGCTTTTTTCTTAAGTTCTATGAAAATCTCCCTCTAGCTCGTTGGAAGATCACTCGAGATGGAAAGGTCATCTATAATGGCTATAAATGCAGATGCACAGTACACTTAGTTATTTTGAGTAGTTTTTCCAAACATGTACAAGCATTGACCTAATAGCATCCACATTTTACTCTGTCAAAGCCCATGCCTTTGTTTAGTGGTACAAAGTTCAAATGCTTAGAGGACCAGCAGTCTCTTAACACTCAACCTAATACCCTGTCAGTTTTGTAAAGAGGGTTTCGTTTGAAGGACAAAGAGGGTGAACTGTTTTAGAGCAGTGGGTCTCCTTCCCACACTGATGCAAACCTGGTTTCCTACTTCAGTTTGTAGGAAGAAAGGGGCTGATGCCACAATGACAACTGTGGCACCTTATTGTTCCTTGCAAGATGGAGAGCAAAGATCTCTGCGACTGGCATTGTCTGATACAGACTGTAAAACAGAAGTCTGTAATGATTTTAGATTTCAGGAGCGATGATCTCAAGCAGCATCTAATTCAAGCATTGTTAGGAAAGCAGAATTTATAGCCTTGCTCTATCTGTAAAATACATTGCACTTTTGAGAACACAATATCCTAACAAAACAAAGATAATAACAACTCCGTGTTCTTTAATTCAATGCTTGTAGCTGGTTTAATAATAGATTTTCAATCCACTTCTCTTTTTTTGCTGAGACAACTACAGTCTGATTTAGTGAATCTTTTTGATTTGTAATCCTCATCGCTATATTATTAATATGCCCTTGATGCAAATAGCAGGATAACTTAAAAAAATGATCAGCTGTTTTTCTTGGCATTTATGACCTTGGTCAGAGGATGCATTATTTACAGGAAGAGTTTTCTGGAACATCTGCAAGTAAATCAGCTCTGAAACGCTGTTTAATTGTTTAGGGCAAAGCACACTTAGTTTCACATTCCCAGGAACCTCCAGCTACAGACACAATGTGTTTCCACAGATGGACACTGGCATGTGGAAATGCCACTGTGACTACCGTTCAGCTGACCTTTGGTTTAGGGCCAGCTGCCAAGGGGAAATGCCAAGCTGTTACTTACATTCTTTCAAAAGAAGCGAGAAAACTAGAGAGATACTTGAAAGCAAAAAAAGGGGAAGAGGTGTAAAAACTTCTGCCTCTGGGAACCTAGCAGAAAATAAAATCCCTGCAGAGACCAGCAAACCCCTGAGTCCTACAGCTGGGAAGATATTTTCCAAGATGCTGAGAACTGAAGGACATCCCCTTCTCACTGCAGGACTGGTCTCAAGCCGCTTCAGCCTGACATTTGGGAGGATAGGCACAAAGAGATGCTATACAAAATCCTAGGGAGGAATACCCTAATTCTGAGGTGTCCAGGGCCTCCCAAGCATAGAGCCAGCAACAAGGAGCCTGTTGGCATGAGCTGGCCAGGCTATGTCCTCAGTGCTGCAGAGCAAGAGGGCTTTTCTCCTTAGTTTTGCTACTGGACTGTATATGCTTTCCTATGTTAGCAGGAAAGACTGAGCTTGGGCTTTGCACAGCTTCCTTGGCATGGAAAGCAGTGGTGGTTCTAGCTGCAGCGCCTCCTGAAGTTGAAAATGTCTGGTTTTATAAAAGCAAGTATGGGAAAGAATAGGAAAGGAAATTTAGCTCTCTGGAACTAGGCACTGGAACAACGTAACCACTCCAAAGATACAGGGAAGTGTCTTCCAGAAACAGGTTAATAGTTTCAGAAAGGGATTAGCCTGTGACTTGGAATGTGTTTATCACCCCCGCAGAGTCACAGCAGGAGAGTGACCATTCACTCCATGAATTGTCTCAAAATTACATCCAAGGCAAAGCGGCATGAATGACTCACTTCCAAACAGGAGCAATTTTTTTGTTTTGCTTTGTTTAATTTCAAATTGGCTGTCAGCTTTCTGGCTTCTAGGGTTTATTTTTCTGGTCTCACAAGTCACTCCACACATTAGATGAGCTTTAAAATTCATGGGAACTCAAGCCAATTCTCTACTGATGGACCAAACCTTGATACTGGAAGCTTCTACACTACCTCCAGCTGAGGGATGAGGTTCTTCCCAGTTTAGGGGAAGGGCTGAAAAGATAAAAATAGATCAAGAGCTCAGCTCCCTCTGCCTGCACTTTTCGATATGTCCAGTGTGGCACCACGGAGAAGCTCCATGGGGTCCATGGAGAGAGGTGTGAGTACCAGGTAGGCAGATTAAGGCAGCAGCAAAGGCAGTGGTAAAATTCTAGCCAGAGAAGACAAGGGCTTTTAAAAGCATGTCAAGAGATAAAGAGACAAGAGGAAGCACATCCTGGAAAGCCCATTACAGCAAAGGACAGAAAGAGATAACTAACAAGAGTTGGTGACAAATGGCTCAGGCTTTGAAACTGTTCAGACCAGAAACGGTAGCAGCAAAAAGGAGACCTGCAAGGGCATGTCTTCCCCTTTGGGTCCCAAGCACTTGTCAGTGACTGAGGGAAGAGCAACAACTGCTAGTTGCCATGCAGTTCCTTATGGCCACAGAGGGATACATGTCCCTCCACCTGCGATTCGCTCCCCTGGACTCTTCCTTGCAGAGGTGCCAGATTACATCTGTAGCTTCCCTATGGCCACGCATGCATCCTCCCGTTTGCATTGTTACAAGCACACATTCAGGCTGGGGAGGCCAAAGTCCACATCCCCCAGCTCTGTTTAAGGAGGGATTTGACTCAAAACATCCAACATTTAAGGAGAGACTTGAACTCCTGCCTACAGCGTTCAGAGCCCAGACTTTCTGGCTACAGCTTTCCTGTAGCCCCTGGTGTGAATGGTCTATAGTCATTCACACCCCTCATGCCACTGCATGTTTCTTGTGGAGACAGAAGTATTTACTTTTCCATTTTTAAGCCCAAGAAGTCACTCAGAGCAGACAACAAGAGCTCAAACAGCTGAGCTGGGAGAGACTGTCAGTCTCTGACCTTGAGTGGAGATGAGTCTGGCAGCACACTTACCTTTCAAGACAGGAAATAACTCTGTCCTTCCATGAATGCCTTCTGCCTGGGGACACTGCTGCTCAGCCTGGCTGGATTTCACTGTGCTGCATTCACAGATTGATACCCTACTTCCTCTGGGAAATAAGACCCTCAGACAGTATGTTCAGTATCAGTGCAGCTCCTCTGTATCTTGCAACTACTCTTAACACTTAAAACATCCTGTAATTTATAGCCACCATGATAGATCTGAGCTATAGACAGATCTGTTTTATGAAAGCAACAGTGGGCTGATGGATACCTTAGAAGCATAAATATTTACTTTGCACTGAAAATAAGCTCAGCCTTATGAATAGATGCACTTCACATTGTTTTACATTGCACAGGTTTACTACTGCCATTAAAAAAAATTACTAATACACAAGTAGTATATGAAAAAAAGTGTCTTGTGTGCTGGCTGCTACACAAATTTAGTGCTACAGTGCAAACTGATCCTGATACAAGCCAGATTTTCCCCAAATACCACTACCCCTTGTTCACCAACAAGTTCATCAACTTCCATTACAGTTGTCAAAGATGGTATAGCCCAGACTTTCATTACTTGCCTATGTTTAAGCACATGAGAAGTCAACAGGATTGCTTTATGGCTTTAAGCAGAGTGTCTCCTTCCATGGATAGGAGCTTTCTGTATAATCTGCCAGCATTGGGGTACACATTAGTGTCCTACATATGAAAAATGAAAGGCAGACCTGACCAAAACTTGTGACATCTGGCCATTCAGCTGGGTTTCTTCTTTTTTTCTCTGAAAGTGTTTTCCTGAAGTCAAGTTTTGTCTGTGAGCTGAGTGTAAACATATGGGCTTCAGGATATTTTACCTGTAATAACATGTCCTGCTTTTTTTAAAGGAATGTGAAAACACTCCAGTGAGAATCAAGTTGAATAATTAGGGCCAGTATATCGAGAGATGAAAAACCATTGGGAAGTGAACCACATTTGTGAGCAAGCCTTTGCCGTTCCTGCCTTTCCAAACAGATCAATCAGCCCACACTCGTGCTGTGCTACAAGGCTACTGCTTGACAGCTTCATGCACGCGCTGCTTTCACCTAAAGTGCACTAACCAGCTGGTCAGATAAAAGTTATTACAGAAGTTGGAGAAGGATAAATACACAGTTTCTTCTCTTACCTTCCACTGAGAAGAAAACCGATAACAACAGCCAGCAGAATGACTCCCACTGTTACAGACACAACAATTATAGGAATCTGGCTCTGGTCGCTGGATGCAGCTACTGCTGAGATTAGAAACAGAAAATGGAGATTAAGGTTAAAATGGTAGTCATCACTCACAGAAGTCTTTCTAGTGAGGCTGCCAGCAAGGTTTCAAGTCTTACCAGTTCACTACTTCTTTTACGGTTTATGTTTTCCCCCCTAGCTGGCTGTTTCTAGTTTGGAAAGGAAATGGGTGGAAAGAAACCAAACACACATGCAAAACCAAGCCAAAACCCTAACAAAATTGCATTTCATCGTTGAATTCAGAAACAAAAACACTGCAGAACTCATCCTTTGAGTTTGCAAACTGAAGTTTGTCTTCCTGGGTTGGCTGCATTAGAAATCACAGAGATAAAGGACGAAAACCTAACAGGTTCCGTTTTGCAGAGAGAATATTTATGGAATGTCATTGTTAAGAGACATATGCCTTACTTGTGCTTCAAGAAGCTATAAACAATTACAACCTCTTCGTGGCATCTGTATCACATGGCCAGAATGTGCACTCTGTAATACAGGAATTTGCTAAGACACATGTAGAGGTTGGTCTTTTAATCAGCTAAGGGAAGCAGAACTCCCCCACCCATGCCTTGTAGAGAGCTTTCATGCCAAAAGGCAGAAGACAAGTCCTGTGATAAAGATACCAGCAGAAAGCTCAGGAAAGCTGTTTAAGACCCGGATTTTGTCACAGATTAAGTAAAAGCATGTGAGCAAGCTCCTGCAGCCTGTAAAATGGACATGCTAACATCGCCTGTATCGCATTTATCTGCTTTGCACTGCAGGGCAAGGAACCCACATGCCCCAAAGGGTCCCCATGCAGAAATTGAACTCACCTCACCCTGCTCTTTCCATTGCCGGCTTATTTAGCTGCATACATTTAACCACTCCAGGATACAAATCTGACTTCCTCCCTGTAAAACTAGCTCTCTGGCATAGGCACTGCTGCTGGGCGGGGAAAAACCTCATTATAGCTCTACCCTTGTGCCAACTGTGGATGAAGCTTCATCCACCCCAGGGGCGCAGCAGGTGAGCAGCAGCAATCGATTGCACCTTGAAGAAGCCTTTAACTAAATGACTTAAGTAAAAACAGGTCCTTAGCACAGGATTAACTTTATGGAGGCTATAAAATAACTGAATGTATTGCCATATTATTTCTTAAGAGAAAGATGAAAAGGTATGGCATTAAAAGTTGATCTGCAATGGGTTTCAAGCAGCTCTTCATACAGGAGCTCTTCAGCACTCAGTGATGAGCAGTGTGGACCTGCTATGGCAGTGTAAATGATTTCAGAAGGATTGGCCATGATACACTAAATATTTAATGTTAACTGCTCCAAACTCATGCCATCATCCAGAGATTTTATTAGCCTCACTAATTTATTGAGGCTCCTTAAGATGATGTTTTATTGCTTTCTTGACAAAATAATTAAAAAGAAAAACATTTGAAGGAGAACGTTAAGCTGTGACTGGTGGTTTTTTGCACAGCTCTAGGTATGGGGAAATGAGATAAATCTTGCTGTGATCTATGGCAGCTAAAAAGCCCAAATTCATAAGCTAAGTTGGGACCCCCCTGCCTTTTAAGGCTGGAAAGAAGCCGCATTACCCTCCTTGACTTGATGACATGTTCCCATTCTCGCCTAGCAGACTAGCTAGATTAGTTCACCAATTCAGTAAAAAATCATCTTTTGGCCAGGTTAGTTTTATCAGGGTTAGATGAGTTTGGTGGCATTTGAAAAGGAGGACAGTAGTAAGTGGATATACCTAGCAACAGTTTCCACCTAAATAAAAAGTAAAAATTGAAGCTGGGGCTGCATCGTGGTGCTTTGCAGAATTGCACATAATGGCAGCAGTATGTAAAAAAAAACAGAATCCGGAAAAAGATAAAAGTCCAAAACAAGTTATGGCTTCCCCCCACTGCATTTGCCAGGCTGTTGTTTCATATTTCCTCTAAGTGCATTAAATATAACTTGCAGAAACCTTGCAAACTGGAAACAAAACCTGTTTCTTGGTCCAAATGATTTTGGAACCTGTTTTTGCATCCCGCAACAGTCACTGAAAGGTTTTCATTTGTGCTTGAATCAAAATAATTTGCTTTGGCTCTAAAAAGAGGTGCAGATCTGAACTCTGATGTAGCAGTGCGATTTCAGTCTGTGCTTGCTTTCAGATTCCCTGGGATGTGCAGGAAAGCAGTGGGAGTCTGGTCACACACTCCAGCCACTGATACTGACTTTAGATTGGGCCTTGGAAAATAAAAGAATAAATAAAAAATTGATTCTTTTAAAAGATTTTACATGTCAAATGGAGCTGCATCATGCATTATACTGAGGCTTACATTACATTTTAATTCTACCAAGCATTTAAACATCTGGTTAAGTCCTGCTTCAGCCAGAGCTCAAGTCCAACAGAGGAAGAGTTCCCAGATCCCACGCAGTAGGTATTCCTCTGACTACGCTGGCAGCTCCTTAGTATTAGAGAATTACCTACTCCTCTGTCTTTAAAATGCTAAAAAGATGGGGGTGCAGGTGTGACTAAATGACTAAAGGGGGTTTGGGTGTTTAAAGATTTTAACGTGATGTCCTCAAAACATCCTCGTTAACACAGATACTTACATGATGGGCTTTATGAAAGTGCCATTATTTTTGGACCAGGATTGTAAGTACTGACAGCACTGGATGAAATGTGCATATATTTAATATATTATATGAATAGTCTTGAACACTATTACTCAAATGGCTCTATACTAGAAACTTTCCAACTGCTAGCAAAATTCTCCTTGGTATAGTGCAGTATAATTTTTGGCATAACATGATTTTATTGCTATTTATAAGGCACAATTAATGGTTAATAAAATAAGAAATACATTAAATGGACCATTCTTGCTGCATTAATTTTTTCATTGTGATGCAATTTGCACTGTATTAGTTCAATCACTGGCTCCACAGCTACATCTGCTCGTGTATAATGACTCCTTTAAAATCTATTACAGCTTCAAAGGTAGCATGCATTGAAAAACCAACTTGACATCCTCTTCTCAAAGATGATGAATTTTAAATGAACTGGAATAACAGTAATCAAGGTATTGACAAATTTAAATTTCCAAGGAAAACATACAGAAAATAGCCTTTTTACCACAGGAATGAACCACATATTCCCACTCTTTTCTGAGGGAGAAAGTTATTTTGACACCTCTGGAAAAATTTGGTAATTGGGACAAAAAGAATTTCCCCACAACTGTGCCTGAACACAGGAGAAAGAGCAGCTGAGCCTCTGTGTGCCTCAGAATGTGCTGCAGAATCCAGACCTGGATGATCAGATTTATTTAAATACAAGAATTTTCAGTTAAAAAAGGTAAAAATCAAACCCCACAGATTTCTAACAGGCCAATCCAAAGTCCTGTGCCTGCAGTGTGTGTTTTTCCTGTTTCTGATCACAAGTCAAATGCCTCAAGACTGTGGCACTGGCAGCAAACAGAAACCATCTTTCAACTTGACAGAAACTTACACCAAAGGACACTAATGCTGGTTCAATTCTTCCCCTTGCAGAAAGACACCATTTCAGGGTTTTTTCTTCAGATGCAATACTTAAGAGATCTCAGCAGACTCCACAGATCTCCATTAAGAGGCGGGGAGGAGCAGGTCCCATCCCTCTGTCCCTCGTGAGAGGAGGACCTTTGTCTTCTTGCATCAGCTTTCATAAACGCAGAATTTTTCTAAACAGAGTGTGCTATGAATTTCTGGAACCTGAACACCTACTGAATTCACCCCCTGCTTCACTATGCAAGTTGAGGAGGCAAGGACAGATATGCCTGTCCACTGCACGGTCATAATGTGCCTGATGTTTCTAAAGTCAAGGGATGAGGCCAGGACAAGAAACAGCTCTCTGCAAAGGTATTGATCCCCTGACTCATTTCTGGTAACTGTTCCAGCAACACGGGCTGACAGTAATTAAAAGGACTTACACACTGGGCTGGTTTCAAACTCAAATCTTCGGCTGAAGCCACCATAGCCAGCAGCTGTCCGGGCTCGGATCTGGAAGACGTACACTGAGCCTGGTTTCAAGCCATCTGCTGTAATCGTTGTCAATTTGGATTTGATGATGGTGTAACTTGTCTCTTCATCCTTTTCCCAACCCCACCCAAAAAAACATAAAGTTCAAACATACATACAAATAGTATCTCTCAGAGAAAATAGACTCTTAACAACCCTCACAGCAAAGTTACAAAGGATGACCAAAATATGCATTTTTGAGAGGATACCTCTTCCTCCCCCCCAAAGGCCCTTTCTGCAGTACAAAATGTGAGATATGACTTTCTCCTTTTTAATCAATGGCTCTAGAAGGAAACAAAGAAGAAGGACTGTCAACCCACAAATAATACGGGGACCAAACCAGCATCTGCAGTAGGAGCAGATTTCTATTTCTTGAGATGAACATGGCCCAGAGCAATGGAAAAGTTCATCCTACAAAATCAATCTCAAGGCATGGGGAAGAGGAAAAAAGTCCCATTGCCTTAGAGAGAGATTTTAATTTGTAGCAGAATGACTTCCCAGTAATGTAATTAGACCTAAAAAGAGAACAATATATTATATATTTTACAAGTTTATGCTGGCATTTCTAGAACCATGAATTAGACCTTGGGAAGGGAATAATAAACCAAAACTCCAGGAAAATATCTAATTTTGCATTGTTCTTCTGAAGCAACAAACTTGAAGAAAAATTGCTGAAATAAATCTTCATTTACATCAGTTCCTAATGCGAAAGTGTTTCAGTTCTCTGATTAAAATTTCACTCAAATGCTTGGTAATTACTCTTAGAGTTATTTACTGTAACACATAATCTAGACAAGAGCTCATAAATTCACGTCTACAAACTTGGAAACTGCTTTTTATTCACCATATCCTCTCAGATCCAAATTATTCTGAGGTAAAGAGGAGGTCTTAGTAATTTCCTACCAAGATTTCCGTATAGCTCTGAACTGATTTTATTTTTTCCTTTTGAATTTAATGGACAACTTTCCATAGACAATAATATGCCTGGGTAAGGCCATGGGAATTTCATTGAAGCCTGTAGCTACACAAGACTGATTTGTTGAAATGTGTATATGTGTGTGTGTCTATGTATATATATATATATATGTCCTTTTTTTTTTTCTTGTTAAGGAGTGAGTTCTCTTAAAGGAATGCGATCTGACAAAACCTAATTTTCCAAAACACTTAATATAGATAATTCTAATCCCTTGGAAATGAATGCTGCAAATTTACCCTTATAAAGGGCTGAAAACCAAGAGGATATAAAAGACAGTAGCAACAGAAAAAGAAGAATTAAGGATGACATCCCAAATCTAACCCAATGACTGATTAAAAAGCAATAAGTGAATATTAGGTCACATCTTTGCTTGTATGTCAGCCCAATTAGGTTTTCAATACACTGTTGGCTTCTGCAAACACTTACACACTTGAGCATTCCTACAGAAAACATTAAGCTTTGCTATCAGTCAGCGAGAAATATATCAAGACAGCATAAACTCGGACTGGCTGTAGCTACCTCCCCGTGAAAGACTTGCACTTGAAGAACTATTTACTGAAAATATTTCAGACTAGTTCTGAACCACAAATACATTTTAAGCCCCTCTTCCCCCAATTTGTTTGCGAACAAAGTCAAATGACCCAATACATGGATTTTTTTTTTTTGCTTTAATTATTTGGTCATTATCAAGGTTTCTAGAGGCTAGTCTTTCCAGGCCACTCCATGGGAAGCATTCAATATGCCACAATGGTTGTTCATATAAATTATTAAAAGAACCTGTAATGGATTATTTCCAGCAATACCATATCCTGATTCTTGCTTTGTGCTTCTATCTTTTTGAAAACCTCAGCCCTATTTAAGCCACTCACACATCTTGTGCACTTGCCCAAGACCCCTCAGCTGCAAAAATGATGTTGATTTTATCCTGATGCAGAAGACTTCTGAAATTCTTTCCCTGCTTCAGCAGGTCCCTCCCATGATCACAGCAAGGACAGAGGAGTAAGGACCCAGTCCTTGTCCATGTTAAGTGGTTTCACCTGGATCACAGGCAGAACGAAGGGAAGATCTTCCTTAACATAGGAATTCAACCACTCCCCTCCATCCCCAAGTGAATTGTGACTCAATTTAATTATTTTCCTCTTGTTTTCAAGTAGAAGGTCTGGCTGTTCCAAAATTAAAAAGAACACCTTACAATCCCAGCTAAGGCAAGATACTGCTATTCAGTCAACTCTTGCAAACCTGATTTTTGGAAAGGGAACATTTGAAAGATGTAACACTCCATCACTCAAAAGATGCTAGTTAGAAAAAGTGCATTTGTTACTGTTTGCATTTAATCTCCATTAATTTTGTAGGAAGGGAGCAAGTCACCATTTGAACTGAAGACTAGGAGAGGCACATTTTGTAGGAAGAGAGAGTATTTCCCATTAGACCAAGAAAAAGATCTGGAAAGCCTGGCAAGCTTTTAAGCCAGGATACCCTTCTTCATGTCAGAGCAGATACAATGTCTCCATAAGACCTCTTTCTTCTTCTTAAACTGTGAGTGTAAAATGAAGTGAGAAATTGAAATAGTAAAGGCAAGGACAGCCTGATGATTCTGGGAGGAGATAGACACTCAATTCCCAACCTCTCCTATTTTTAACAAATGACCGGGCTCTATCTTAATGTGATAAGGCTGGTGAGGAATCTGACATGCAGATTTAATGTATTTGATCTACAGAAGTGACACACTAATGGAAAACAACACTCTCATTTCAAGTCTTCCTAATAATTTACTGCAAAATCAATCTAACATTGATTTATGCATAAAATTGCTCCATTCCCTTCCATGACTCAAATAATTATCATTAAAATAAGAGGACAGTAAAGAGAAGGTACTTGGGATGCTCAGCAATCAGTCTGTCACACCTTTTCAAAATATTTGATTTCGTATTCCAGGATGATGCCGTTGGGTCGATCTGGCTCCTGCCAGGAAAGGGAGATGCTGTTTTTAGTTATCTTCCCTTTTTTCACACTACTGACTGGAGAAGGTGCTGCAAAACATTAGAAAAACAGAACAGACAATGTACATGGTTAGTAAGATGGTCTGCCCCTGCTGAAGTCAAACTCATCAGTGCATCCTCAAATGCAAGGCAATCCTTAGCTACTGCACATCAGCAGGGTTTGTTTTCACCTTGGTGGTATTTACCCATTTTTAACAACTGGACTTGCACAGATTTTCAGCTGCTGAGGATCTGACCAGCATCACCCACCCAATGAAAGTAATATGAACTACCATCAGCAGCTTACATATCAACATTGTCTTCTCAAGCATTTTCAAACACATCAACCCCACACCTTGCCTTTTCAAATGTGGCAGGGGTCTACATTATCAGAATTATGTTGATTATACATTGCTTTCTTCCACCTGCTTTGAAGGTACGTATTTTTCAGAAGACCTTAGATTAAATGGGCTCTTAACTATTCCTTTCTTTTGGCTTGTACAGTAGTAGAAGCCTAGGCATCTTTCAGACCCCTCCTTCCAGATGGAAGGAACAGGGTAGAAAGGCCATTACAACTTATATAATTCAATTGCTCTCAATAAATATCGCTGGGGTATTATAGCTCACATAGTGACGCTAATTCCTTGCAAATGCCAACTGTAAAGATTTTAATGGCAATCATGGTCTGGAATTTCGCAGCATGCTTGGGGAAGCAGCAGCATGAAAGCAGATATACCAGCTCTGCTTATTATTTTAAGATTCAGCCCTGAAAGGTTATCTGCCCTTTGCAGTACACATGTGCATCAGACACAGGCCTGATCCTTTGTTTTCAGTGCACTATCTGCAGGGACTTTTCAAGTTGTGGTCATTGTCACCCCTGCCAGCTCCCTAGCAAAAGCTGCTATGGGCAATGCAACCCTAAAGCCCCAGGTATTTTGTGCCAGAGATTAGGAAACAACATGGAATGAAAAGGGGATTGAAGAATTTCATAGTCCGTAATTCACAGGGCCAAGACCAGCTTCTCCAGATTTAAAAACAGCTCATGCCTGGCTGAGGGCCTTTGTCTCACCCTCCTGACAGGCCAGACCTTTCCAAGGATACTGAATGCAAAGAGCAGTAGCAAATGACCACATTTTATCTTCTAAAATGTATTTGGAACTTAAAGAAAAAAAAAAACAAACCAAAAAACTTCTATACGCAGGATATTAACTAATTATTATTATACTAAAAAAAAATAAAATAAAATAAAGTCATTATGTAAAATAAAACCAACAAACTAATTTTGCCAGGTCTGATCTTCAGCCAAAAAGAGTAAGCAAAGAGCTACAGTCAATTATTCCTGGAACAAAGGCTAGCAGCAAGTCTTCGCTTATAGCAAGCTCCTGCATCTCAGTCTCTTTTTCAGCCTCAGGTTTTCTCCCTCCTGTTTACTAATCTCTCCCCTGCTTGGTTCCTGGGAGGATCCTGAAAGGTCTGGCTATTTCCATACTGTTTTCTGCTGGAGACCTGGCATCAAGCTGCACAAACAATGCTCAGTTTTTAGCTTGGTGTATCCTATACCAAGCTGATAACTGCTCCACTGAGCAAGTAAAAACCACCTTGATTTGAATGATGATCATGTTATACATGTAGGCATTGCATGATGATCACCAACAATTTTTCATCCGCAAAAGTCACCTTACCCTCGTCTGATGTCCTCCACAAATTCTGGGGCTATGTGAAGGCAAATAACCATCTAGACTCAAATTGCTAATCTGGTATAGGAGTTCCCATTAAGTCATCCAGGTGCCTAAATATGCTATGAATGCATGTGTACAGCAAGCTGAGTTGTGAATGCGAGGTATATGGTCCATGCACATGCATTTAGTCAGATGTGTTAGCCCAGAAGACATAGCAAGCAGTGAACTCTGTTAAAATAGCATGAACTTTCCTTCTAATGCAAAGGGAGATAAGATGGTTTTCAGAAGCATCAGAAAACAAGTCTCACCACAAGGGGTGGTGATGCCAAATAACAGGCAGTTCTAACCCCCTAGTTAAGTAGACCATATTGATCACTTCTTATCATGAGCCACTTGAGTGATGTATATAAGGGATGGAGACACACCAAAGTACTCAGAAGAAGGAGCCCATGGCCCTCTGGAACCGTTCCCTGCAATGCCTATCCCTTGCTTTCAGAGCTGGCAGCAGAGGTCTGGAAGGATGGAAAAACTCGGCACTGAACCTTTTTAAACTCCTAATAGCAAAAGCAAAGTTGATGAGTGCAGCAAGGGGAGACCTCAGCTCTCCTGGTATTGAACACCTCTCAGGAAGGTGAAAACTACGCAATTCACAGTCTCAAGGTTGCCTGACCAAATAATGGACTTTTCATCCACATTACTGAGGTTTCCTGAAGTGTTTATAGGACCGAGGCTCACGGGTCCTTTAAAAACAACAGAATGATGCAAGTGCTACTGAACTCTGCTGCAAAACCTTTCCCTGGGAGGTTCAGAGGCATTAGCTCTCCTTCACCTGCATCAGCACGGTACAGTACAAGATGCACCATCAGCCATCCAAAAGCACCCATCAAACCCCCTACTCCCATAAACCATGGCATCCTCTTTAAAAAGCAGTGTGTGAAAAGCTTGGCTAGTTAACAGCTTCATGGACTTAAATCCCCTGCTGTGCAAGCCTCTAACACGTTCAATCATGGCTTTGCAGAATGCTCTGCACTACCAGGAAAAGGAGGGAAGATAAGAAAATAAGTAACCCAACCCCCAAAGTAAATTAGAAAAGGAGTAACTGTATCCTTTTTGAATCTCCTTCAAAAGAAGCGTTGAAATGTAACTGTGAGATAAAGGCCAATTAAGTAAATTCAATAAATCCCAGCGGTGCCGGGATGATACAGCAACTACTCTGCATCCTCCATGAACGGAGATTACGATACTCTGAACTGACGGAAGGAAGGTATAAGTATTTTAGAATTTTCTTTGTCAAACAAAACGTAATCCAATCCAGGCAAGCGGACAAAGCCTGCAATCATTCCATCTTAAAAGCCTGCAACTCGATACTGTGCTATATGATCTCAGAAAAATAAAAGGATTACTTGAGACTTGCTTTTCAAAGGTCACTGCTTCTGCAAGGGCAGCATCCTCTTAATAGAAAGTAACCAAGCCATGGAGCATTTCCATTTGGAGTACAACATGTAAAATATAAATTCACCTAAGAGTCACGATACATAAGAAACATGGGAGATTTATGTAAGGAGGCAGAATTCTTGTTCAAATTCCTGCCTTGACACTACAAAGGGTGGATGTACAATGTGAATTGATCAATTGTTGCTGTAACAAGTAATTTGCACATATGTATTAATTTCTTAGCAAGACACTCAAAATCAGAAGGATGTTACATCATTTATGCTTATGTTTCCCACTCATGAAAACAGCCATTCGTGTGATGAAAGCAAACAGAAGATGTAACAAGATGTGAAATTTCTAATGTACACTTTTGCTTTCCTGAGACCAAAATTAATTGGGACACAAATAAAAGCACAGAAAACTGATTCTAACTTTTTTTTTTTTTTGTGTTCCAATATTTCTTAAGAAGAATAAGGGGACATAATTTTTTGCAGAAGACGTATCATTAGTCACATCTGAATAACTGTAGGAAATGATTTTATGAAGAATAGACCTCTAAGGACATTCTTGCTCTGCAACCTTTGATAATGACATTAGCACTGAATTAGCCACCTAGGCAGCAAACCCAGTATTTACAACACACTGCACTGTGTCCCACTAACATCTAATGTACAATGATGCTTACTGGAATAAAATGTTAATTGTATTTTAAAAGAAAATAATGTTATCAGGTGAATGACCACTGCACCTAGATTAAAGAAATAATTCAGTTTCTGCATTTCATGGCCTATCTAATGCTCTCTCCAGCCCAATTACTTTGGTATTTTTCACTCTGGCAGAAACAACAGCTAATGGCTCACCATCCCACCCTTAGTCCCACGGCCAGTAAAGTTTTCCACTTCTTATCAAAAAACCCAAACCAAACAAAAAACTAGCTTCCTTCACCTTTTGAGCAAAACTCAAGCCAATAGCCCAGGACCTTCAATCCAGCTTTAACTCCTGCCAGGACAGGTCCTCAATTGGAGCAACCCAGAGTATCACAGGAAGAGATGCTGGTTTGCATGGGCAAAGGGGCTGGCACCTCTTCATCCCTTGCATCTCTAAGTACCTAGGTTTCAGGTCCCTTTCCAAAGATAACTAAGGTATCAAAGAGAAAGATCCTGCTACCACCTCTGTCCTGGCTGCTGTTATAGACACTTATATTACAAATGTCTACAGACACAGACATCACCTTTACAGACATCTATGCTGTGGATTTAAATGTTTTCATGCATTTGCAATTTCTTTTACTGTGATTACATTCCTGTATGTGAAAATGTTTGGGATCCAACACTTCAGACTTCTCAATACACCTTGGAGTTCCTCCCTCCATGTGATGGCACATTTTTTTTGCAGTCTGAATTTATGCCAGAAGATTTAAAAATCAAATTCATGCTTGTGACTGAATCAATACCTTCACCTGTTACCATATAACCAAATAGTTATATTATCATTAATGCACCTATAAAGCCAGGTTTAATTGAAGGAAATGAAACCTGTCAGAAGAGTAACCACAAGACAAGTAATTCTGATTCCACTTCAAAAGCATGGTATACTGCAATTTTTCACTCAGTTTCTAATAAATGACATTATTGATTTTTTTTTTTTTCTCAGGCTTTGGTGACTTCAGAGTTTGGAGCAAGACCTGCTTTATTCACCAAGTCACACTAAAGGCATGTGAAGCTGCAGATGGCTTCAAGCAGTAGATTCATTTTAAACAAGATACACACATTAGTTAAAATAGAAACACTGGAGAATAAAAAAAAAAAAAAAAAAGGCTTCGCTATATTATTTCTTTGCATTTTTTGTACAGAAATTATATACTTTTAGAAAAGCTCAATACCCAATGGCTCCCCTAAAGGTACATTTACTAAGGATATTATACATTGGTCAAAACTT